TTTGATAAGATATTCATTAAATTTTTTAATATTATCTCTATTTAAAGTTATTAACTATGAGAGAAAATATATGTAAATAAAAAAATTTCATTTAAATGAGTAAAAAAAAAAATTTAGTCCATTTTCAAATAAACAATAACTACTAAATATCTTTTGTTAGTTTTTCAAAGTGCTTAGATGTGTTTTTAATAGAAACTAGAGTGGTAATACTCTTTTGATCTTATTTATAAGATAAAAAATAAGATTAATTTTGATTCTATTTATAAGGCATTTCACTATTTTTTTGTTCATTTTTCCCTTTCTACCCTTATTAAATGTTAGAAAAAATTGTTAAAAAATATTTTTGTCCTTATTAGGAGTAGAGGTAAAAAATTTATTAAATTTTAAGACAGATTTAATATTGTTTGAGGTTTTCATTGATTATAGTAAAACATACTAAAAGTTTCTTATAAATAAAATTGGAAAGAAAATATATAACAAATTTGATTAATGTGCTAATATCGTTCGCCGGCATACTAATATCAAATATTAAACTGAGTCCAATGTCCCATAAATTAGAAGTAGTATAACTTGCTTACTGAGCCTTACAACATGGCAAAAATTGACCAAATATACCTCATACTTCCTCTATTTTTGAATATAAGAGAAACTATTATATCTGTCTTTATTTTTATTTATAAGCAAAATCACAAATTTTAAGAAGTATTTATCACGATTTTTTCAAATTATCCCTTATAAAATTAATGTTTATTATACCATGCTAATTTGTTTCATTAATTATTAGGATATTTTAGTTTAAATTGTTTTATTTCAGATATAATTATTATACTTAATCAACTTTATTAAAACTGCATGATTTTTTTTTTAAATGGAAGGAGTACGTGTGACAATAAAAAGGGTTGATATTTAAGAATGTAAAGGAAAATAAAGGCAAATAGCTGGGTGATGGGGATGGCACTGGACCTATTGAACTCAAATAAAATGTTTGATGTGAACAATATCAGGTTGTGGATCTCCGTTGAGACTGCTTGTTTCTGTCACAAAATAAATTATGGTTTTTTGTCTAACCCTATTCCTATTGTCCCTGTTCACTCCATTCCTCCTCCATTAATAAATGCTTCAGCTTCAAGACAAGACAAATCCACGTGGCCAAGTCAATTGTCCCCTCACTAGGCTACTAGCTTTTTCTCTCGTTGCTTACTTCTCTTTCCTAAATTGTCACTACAAGTTTTAGTTACATTCATCTTTTTATTTTCCAAAAATCACTCATTTTCAGTTACACTCCCTCAGTTCCAAGTTGTTCTTGATATTTGAACAATATAATTATTAGGTATGGTAGAGATATAAAATTTTAATATAATTAAAAGCTCTCAAATATCTTTATCTTAATTTGCTCAAATGCAAAGATGCAACAAATAGTAAAAAAAAAGTAATTTTGATTAATGGTGTAAGGCTACTAAATTATAGACTACAATAAAACAGGAAAGAAGATCTAACTTTTGAGTACAAAATGATAAAAAGATAAATTTTAGTAATAAAGTATTTAGATTTGTGTGTTTGTTGCTTGTTGTTGCTTTTTTTTTTTTTTAGAACTCTATTTATAATGTTAGTTTGAGACCGTTATATTCGCACAATAAAGAGTCTAAATGCCTTGTGCTAAGATATCTATTCATGCTAAATACAATCTGCAAGATTGAATGTCCAAGTAACGGTCTCACATTTAAATAATAGTCTTCTTAGTTCAATTGTTTCAAGTTTTAAAAGTCATATTTCTTTTATGACTTAGTGTTTATTTAGTTTGAAAAATCTCTTTTAAATAGATCCAGCCTTGTTTTAGTGGATGGTTTATTGAGCTTGACATTTTCTCTTTCATACTTCTAAGTCATAATCAAACATTCCTTTATTTTAAGCCCAAACATAATGCAAGATATTTTCTACTAACGTTATTAAGTACTTCGAGAAATTTCTTTATATTTTTATTCTCGTATTGGTTTATGTGTATTAAATAATTATGCATTGGATATGAGTGTTAGTTGTAGATGAGGGAAAATCTGAAAAAAAAAATTAAGTCAAATTTTCATGATATTAAAAAATAATTGAATTTCTTTAACATGCAACATGTATGTTGGAAATGATCTACATTACAGACCGATTGGGAGAGGAGTGGCTCCTTTTTCCTTACTCACCATTTCTCTCATTTTTTTCATTATTATTAGATCAAAACTTTTCAACGGTTCAGATTTGATTTTTAATAAAATTATTATTATATTTTTTCATAAAATATATAAATGAAATATTATAGTTTTAAATTGTTTAGATCAAACTTTAATAGTACAAATTTATTAATATATTTTTTATATAAAATAAAATAATAATTTTATCAAATTTTAAATCAAACTGTTAAAATTTTGATCTAAAATGATGAACATAAATGAAGGGAAATAGAGAGTAAGGGAAACTCCCCTTTTTTGTACAATGGCTTTTGCTTTTATTTGTTTTCCATTTATTAATTTAGCTACTTAATTGTTAGGGAAAAATTTACTAATTTATTAATTATTAATTTAGAGACTGTTTATTTAGCTTCAATAAATTTGAAAACTATTATTCTGGCCAAAATAATCTAATAAATAATAGATACTACCTTCGTTTCTATTTGTATGAAAAAAAAATTATATCACATAATTTAAGATAATTAATTAACTATATTAATTTTTTCTAAAAATAAAAAAATTAGACTACAATATTTTTTGTTAATTGTGTTAATTAAGCCTTTATTAATTATTTTTTTATAAATATAAATGATCAAATTATGAGGATAATTCAAAAAATTTGCCATAAATGTCTATTAAAAAAATATAATTTACTTATGTAAAAAATAAATTAAAAATGATAATTTTTTTATAAATAAAAATAGAAGGAGTATTAATTTAAATATAAAATCAATGTAACTAACTACAAAGGAAAGAATAGACTCAACTGTTTGAATTTGCCAAGGAACCTAGACCCGGACCCAAGCCATGCCAGGGAAACAGACTACATCCAAACTCCGTACTACCTAACAAGAAACATTCAGAAGGCAAATCAAAATTTTATTTTTTTTTTTAAAAATAATAACCTAATCATCTTTCATTAGCCTTTGCAAGGTGCTTCAATTTGTTTTATAATACAAACTAGAATGGGTATATACTCTTTTAATTTTATTTATAAAACAAATAAAGAAGATTAATTTTGATCTTATTTATAAAATACTTCACTATTTTTTCTATTCATTTTTATCTTTTTACTCTTATTAAATGCTACACAAAATTATTAAAAATAATTCTTTTTGCAAGGCTGTAGATGTAAAAACTTATTAAATTTTAAGATAGCATTAATATCATTTTAAGTTTTTATTGATTATGATAAAATATGTTAAAAGTAATTTATAAACAGAACAAGGGAGAGAATACATAACCTATTTGATTAATGTGCCAATATCATTCATGAGCATACTAATATCAGATATTAAATTGAGTCCAAAGTCCATAAATTAGAAGTAGTATGACTTGTCCACTGAGCCTTTACACAATGTGGCAAAAATTGACCAAATATTCTTCATACTCTTCATTTTTAAATATAAGAAAAACTATTATGTCTGTCTTTGTTTTATTTATAAGCAAGACTATAAATTGCAAAAAGTATTTAATACATTTTTTTTAAAAATTTTTTCTCATAAAATCAATACTTATTATCACTATATTAAGCTGTTTAATTAATTACAGGAATATTTTAATTCAGATTTTTAATTTCAAATATAATTATTATAGTTAATTAATTTTTTTAAATTATATAAATTAATTATTTTTAATATTTGAAAATGGAAGTAGTAAGTGTAAAATTAAAAAGGTTGATATTTAAGAATGTAAATGAAAACAGAGGCAAATAGCTGGGTGATGTGGATGGCACTGGACCTATTGAACTCAAAAATCACTGTTTGATGTGAACAATATCGGGATGTGGATCTTCCATTGAGGCTGCTTCTTTCTATCACAAAAATTATTTATGGTTTTTTTGTCTAACCCTATTCCTATCTGTCCCTGTTAGTGTTCCCTCCATTTCCTCCATTAATAAATGCTTCAGCTTCAAGACAAGACAAATCCACGAAGCCAAGTCAATTGTCCCCCTATTAGGCCACCAGCTTATTCTCTCATTACTTACTTCTCATTTCTAATTTGTCACTACAAGTTTTAGTTACATTCATCTTTTTTATTTTTTTAAAAACCACTCATTTTCAATTACACTCCCTGTAAGATATTTTTTAAAAGTTATTAAGTACTTTAAGAAATTTCTTTCTATTTTTATTCTTGCGTTCGTTTATGTGTATTAAATAATTATGCATTGGATGTGGGCGTTAGTTGTAGATAAGGAAAAATATTAAAAAAAAAGGTCAAAATTTCATGATATTTAAAAAATAATTGAATTTCTTGAACATGGGGCATGCATGTTGGAAATGATTTACATTATGGACCAATTGGGAGAGGGGTGTCTCACTTTTTCTTACTCTCTATTTCTCTAATTTTTCGTTTATTATTGTTTGATTAAAGCTTTTAAACAGTTTAAATTTAATTTTAGATAAAATTATTATTATAGTTTTACATAAATATATACACAAAAATATTATAATTTTAAGTTGTTTAGATCAAACTTTAACAGTACAAATTTATTTATATATTTTTATATAAAATTAAAATAATTGTTTTATTAAATATTAAATCTAAATCGTTGAATTTTTGATTTAACAATAACAAAGAGAAAACGAGAGAAATGGAAGGTAAGAAAGTGAAGACATCCCTCTCCCCTTTTTCATGCAATGGTTTTGTTTTTATTTTTTTTTTCCCATTTATTGATCTAGCTACTTAATTGTTAGGGCAAAATTTACTAATTTATAAGTTATTAATTTAGAGACTGTTTATTTAGCTTCAATGAACTTGAAAACTATTATTCTGGCCAAAATAATCTAATAAATAAATAGATATTAATAAAAATATAAAATCAAAAGAATAAATCATGAATAGACTCAACTGTTTGAATTTGTCAAAGAACCCAGACCCAGACCCAACCCATGCCATGGAAGCAGATTAACCCAAACTCTATATTGCCTAGCAAGAAATATTCAGAAGGTACAAACAAACTGATAACATACAAGAATGGGAATGGCCCTAATTACTTGGGAGACACAACTCTCAAAGTTAAAAAGCCAAAATGAGTGATCAATAATCAATGTATAAGGAATGAAGATTTGGGTTGAAGTTGGAGGGAGAAATCCTTGAGGGAGAGAAGGAGTTGCTTCAATCTGAGCCTGGCATCATCATCAATCAAGTCGCCATTATCAGGATTGAACTTAATAGGAGGTTCAAAGGCATTAAGGAAGAACTCAGGCTTGTTGAGGAAGTGAAGATCAATGTATATTCCAATCTGGCGAAGATGGAATTGGCCTCTGGCTCCTCCTAGCAGCCCTCCTGCACTCACTATGCCTGCTGCTTTGCCTCCCCACACGTTCGGTGGCCTCGATCCCCAGTCCATTGCGTTCTTCAGTGGTGCTGTCACCATTCATACCGTATTTTAATTATTTCGTGAAGGAAATCAAGGTACGAAACGTAAAAAAGGCATTAATTCACAAGTAAATGGGATGTTCAAGTATAAAAATCACACATAATTCAATAAAACAAAGTTATTAAAGCATAAATATGACCGGTTGCAATTCTTCCTTCCTTCCTTCCTTCCTTCCCTCCTCTTTTTTTTTTTTTTGTTTTTTTAACTAAAACATGATATCATTTCAGACTCGTCAAGGGGAGAAAAATTATGAAATCCGACCCAGCTAACTAATCCAAAACTCTTGACTGTCAGTGATCTAGTTTACCGCTTCACTAGTTGGATTGGTTAACTGGGGTTGAGTTTTGATACCATGAATCAAATATATTTTGTAACTAAAGCTCTTGAAACATTTTATTTTATTTTAAGTCTATTTATTTTAACTTATTTTATGAAAGAATCATTTACTTTTTTTAAAAAAATTATTTTAATATTTATTTAAATTTTTAAAATGTTTAGAATTAAAAAACATATTTTTTAAATATAATCTAATATAATAAAGCGAAGAGTGTTTTAAAAAATAAGATATGCAAAAAATATCATAAATTTTAAATAATAAATTATTTTTATAAAACATAAATCAAGAAAATATTATAAAATTTAAAAATAATTAACTAATAATTACTTTTTAAATTATTATAACTAAATATAAAATAATATTGTTTTTGATAAAATTTTTATAAAAAATATCTTTTTATAAAATCTCTAAATTATTTAAAAATTATTTATTTTTTAATATTAAACCAAAGCGCCTTTATATAGCTTGATATATTTAAGCAACAATTTATTCATTAATTTACAAATATCTTAAACACGCGCAAGTCAGAGTGTTACCCAGTTGACAACAACACTGTCAAGTAAACCTGTAGTTGGAAAATAAGAATTAAGAATCTTTATATAAAATTTATATTAATTAAAAATAAATTATTATTAAAATTTAAATAGATTGTAGTTAATTTAAAATTAATTATTATTAAAGTTAAATAAATATTTATTGATAAAAGATTAATTTAAGTTAATAAATAGCCATTTAAATTCTAATAATAACTGATCCTCAAATTGATATAAATTTTATACAAGAGTCCTGTTATTTTTTTATAATTATCTTTGCTGCTAATAAACAATTGTTATTAAGAGTAAATGAAACTGTTCATTCCTTAATAACTCAATTAATTAATTTCTAGTTGTACGATGTAAATATTCATACTTCATACAAAAATAACACTGTAGAATAGAGACGTAGATTGTAGAACACAGAATCAGATATAACAAAAGGAGCTACTCGATTCAAATCAAAATTGCTAAGAAGGATCATACCTGTGACGGAGAAGTTATACTCCGGAGAAGCGAACAAAATGCTATCGGCTTCGAGAATTTTCCGGCGGAAAGCTTCGACTTCAGCGGGGAAGGTCCCCTGTTTTTCCAGATCCGTGTTGAGCATCGGCAGAGAAGCAATGTCAACTTCCTCGATTTCAACGCCTTCAATGTCTCCCCTGCTTAACTCCATGGCTGAGATCAACCGGAGATCAATAGACTCACCAAATCAGATCCACGAATAAACAAGCAAGCTCAAAACAAACAAAAATACTGTGAAAACAATTATACCAGATCGAATGAGGCCTCTGTTGTACGATCCTTTCCGAAGGGATCCGCAAATCGCCGCCACTTTCACCGTTGCTCTGGCCACCCCTGACAGAGCCATTTGTTTATCTCTATGTGATTAGACTCAGAAATCTGGTGGATGTAAGAGATTCTCTCCGGCGGTGGCCATTCTTATAGGAATTGGGGTCGTTGAAAATTCAAATGATTGAATTGACGAACGCACAACTATATTGAATTGGAGCTGGGAGGAAGCCATGGCGAACTTGAAATGGTAAGTAGAATTGATTCGTAAAAGTATTTCTGTTGCATTTTGGTACTTGGAAATGTCAGATTTCTCGGTAATTGAAGGAGGCTTGGTACGTCACTGTGATGGGTGCATGATGGGACTCAGATTCTCCCTGATGACTCCTCGCGTGGGGCCAGGCGGGGCAGATCTGGACAAGGTTTTAATATTTTTATTAAAATTAAAATTTATAAAAATAAAATATTTCAATAAATTTTTCATATACAAATTTAATATTAAAATTTTTATAATTTTTATAAATTAAATCTATATAATTTAATTTAATATTATTTTTTATAATTTTTATAAATTAAGTATTTAAATATATTTTAGACAATGTAAATAATTTTTTAACATGTATTTTTTTGAAATATTTTTTGAAAAATAAAATTTTTTGATGAAGCATAAGTTAAAAATTTTAAATTTCCTAAAAAATATAATTGAATATTAACTATATAAAAATTATAAAAAATTTAATATTAAATTGAGATTATTCATATTAAATTTAAACTGTTCAAACTCCTTTAAAATTTTTTTATTAAAATTTATACTATTCAAACTAAACTTATCAGGCCTAGATTCACTGAAAACAAATTTATTAATTTTCTTATCATTTTTTATAAATTTTATTTTAATAAAATTAAAATAAAAACAAAGATTTAAACCCTTTAAATCTCAAACGTCAAGGTTTAAAAATTGAGAAGGTGCCTCTGCATGATGTTCTTCTTTGAACAGTTTCTTTTGGCCGAATTTTCCTTTGAGCATTTTGACAATCAAAGAATAATTAATACTCTCCCCATTTAAAAATATAATATATTTTTTAAAAGGTTAAATATTAAAAAATATAACTCATTTTTAATTTTTTAAGATATAATTATTATTTTTTAAAAATATTTCTATTAAATAAATCACTTTATATTTATTTTAGGATGAAATACTTTATTAAATAGGAGTAAATATAAAAAGATATGATTAGTTTAAAAATAAGTGACTATTTTAATAAAGATAAAATTTAGCTAAAAATATTTTACATTTTTAAATGAAGGAAGTATTCAATAATTAATGTGACATCTTATTTCTTTTTAAAGATGATATCGTAGTAAAATTATATGAAATTAACGTTGTTTTTATTATTTATTATAAATTATTTATCTTTAATTCATAGTTATATTAGAGAAAAAGTTATATACTTAACTTTATATATTTCAAATGCTTGTTTCCCATTATTTTTAAAGGATAAATTGGCCTATTGGCCGAAAAAATTGTATTCAAAAAATATGGACTGATTTTTTGAAAATTTGGAAGTGTAACAGGTTGACAATGACATTGATATATAAAAAGTTTATTATTGATGTATATGGGATTTGTCATTGAAAATTTAAAAATTTACGAAAAGTTTATTATTGATATAAAATGTATATTATTGACAAATATAATAAATTAATCATAATATAAATATAATAAATGTTAGACTATTTGCTTAGTTTGGTCTTTTAACATGTACTATATGTGCAAAAGTCACATGGATTCTTTATATATTATTTATTTTATAATAAGTTTTAATTATTAATGTATTAAAATCTATTTGTTTTGATATGATTGGATAAAAGTATATCAAATATAAAAGGCTGGCTGTATGCTTTTTCTAATTATTTATTTCTTTTAAAACAATTGCATATCCCCTTGCATTTTTTTTTTGGGGTTCAAAACACAAAACCCAGAGAAGGAAAGAAATGAGGAAGGTTCATATAATAATGGCATTAAGAAATGTGGAGGAGTGATGCGTGATAGTAATGCTAATTGGCTCGTGGATTTTAATATGCCAACATTGGTTACTACCCACCAGCCATTACAAAGGTAATTGCTATCTTGCAGGGTCTTCACATGTGTTGGGATAAAGGTTTTCGACGAGTCAAAATTTATATTGATTAAGCAGAAGCAATTAATCTTCTATTGCAGAACTGAAATGATTGTCAACCCTATTTCCATATCCTTCTTGAAGTTTGTTTGCTTTTATATAGAGATTAGTGTGTCTTTAGAGTTTTAAATATAGGAAAACAAATTTTTGTACTCATTATTTGGCTATTGATTAATGTCTTGACAGGTTTGGTGTTTTCCACATGTTTGATCAACCACCATTTTTTTGAAGGAAAGTGAAAAGTGATGGATAATGAGAAGTTGTTGAGTTAGATCCAATTTTACTTGTAATCTCTGTTTGAATAATGCATCATCTTTTCAATAGATAAAAAATAGTCAGTAAATTTGGACAAGCTGGAAGAAAACAAAAGATACACAACTAAAATTTTCAATTTCATATGAGAGAAAACCAATTTAATGCTGTCAAAAGAAATAATTTAAATAACAGAGTGAGATTTTTTCCCCTACAATAAACATAAACAGAAATTCAGAGGTAAATATTAGAATCAATTTTAAAGTCCACCGTAGCCTTTATTTCCTTTATCTTCCTGTCTTCAATTTGAGATTAATGTATGACCTTATTTTGCTTGTATATAGACCAGTTCGGCTGACTTGCTTGATTCATTCTGGAAAATTAACTTAGCTTCTTCATTGTTGGCAACAAATTAACTTGAAAATAAAATAATGTTTAAATAACAAAGGGTAAAAAGAGATAAAGGAAGAAGAAAATGAGATCACGATATATAGAGGTTCAGATTCAAATATTGAATCCTACATCCTCTTGATTCTCAAGCACAAGATGCTTGAGAATTTTATAATGAGAAATGATCATAATACAAATTAGAATGTTGTCAATTACAAACTACTAAACTTCCAATTACGATCATAGAAATAAACTCTTAAGACAATGAATCACTTGAAATGGAGTGATGACACGTTACAAGGCAACATTGAATCACAAAGTCTTGCTACTAAATCAAAAAACGTTTCGCTGAAAGAAAAACAGGGGAAAAAAACCAATCAGCTACAAAATAGATCGAAAGAAATACAGCAATGTAACACCAACAATAAACTTATCTTACTCCATCACCCACCAAATCTAGAGAACACGTAAAATCAACTGGAAGATTAATTTAATTTCTGCAGAAGTACTATCTATATGAGCCATTCATGCTGGTTTGAATACTTCAATTGAGCAGCGCCTCTTCTTTTAATCTGAAAATTGAAGCCAGAAATTCCCTTTTTTGTTTTTTTTTGTTGGTCTGATGCTGCATGTTGCACAAAAAGAGAGTAATGGCATAAGTTGACTGTAGCATATGGAGAGAAGATAATATAATGAAATGACTCTTCTGTCCTTTTTGCATGCAAATTAAAAGGATGAACTTCGCAGAAACGGGTAAAGTTCTTGTCTGATATGTGTGTTTAAAAATATGAAGCATTGAAGTTTATTTATTTTGGTCACCATTGGTAATATCTGATTTTTTTCTTTTTGGCTCTTGGCTAACTATAAAAGTCTAATAAATCTAAAAATGTAAACAGAGCAACAGAATATGGGTTGTGATTCATATATAACTATTAATCATTACAGATTTAATTTGTAACTGAGGATCAACATCTCGTACGTACAAATGACTTTCAAGAAATGTCTCAGTAAAATACCATGTATTTATTCATACTTAAACGGGGACAACAAAACACAAAGGAGAGATTTTTTAATTCAAAAAATTATGAAATATTTAGATAGGAGTTTTTGTTATTAGAAAATGGAAAGTAGTGGAAATTGTCAATTAAGCATGTGTCATTTATGAAGAGGAAGTGCGTACCTTTTCCAGAATACGAAGTATTAATAAATGATGTTGTTTTGCTCCAGGAAACTTGAGACTGTAGCTTTAGGAATGTCTATCCAAAGAAGAGTCGATGTGAGAGACATGTAATTAAATTGAGCATGCAATAATATAATTTTGATGAATATAGTGATAATAACTGAGAAACAAATACAAAATGATGAATCATTAAAAAACATGAATATTGAGCTTGTATGGGAGAGTAAAGCGGATGAAGTACCTTTGAGCAAAATGAGAGTCAAGCTCTGCGTATGGAGACATGAGGGATATGAGCAATTTTAGGCCAATCTGGTACTGTCTGATTTTCACACCTCTCCTCCAACAATGAACAATCTTCAATAGATAAAATGAGAAAGGGACGGAGGGAAACCATTTTCTAGCATGCCTTCAAAACTCATGCTTGGACAGTCTTGAAAAGATAAGGAAGCAACGGAATATTGGAGGTGGAGAAGACCCCTGCAATTTAATCTTCTCAAGTTGTGACAACCTGAGAAAAAAAAGAGATTAGAGGTTGGACGGCGGCAAGCCCTCCTCAGGGAAGGACTCCCCATCTTCAAAGTCATGATCACTAAATGAAATTTCTTTCAACTTATATACCCCCCTGCCTCCTTGACGTCGCCGTATTAACCCTCCATGTAGGCACATCTTTTATTGTGATCTTCTTACACTCCTTTAACTCTATAACTTCCATGCAAGAGGATTTGGGAAGTGCTGTCTCCAAATTTCTACACCAGCGGATGTCTAACTTTTTTAGACAAGGAAGGTGTGGAGGTAGAGACTTTGTCAGACTTGGGCACCACCATATATGAAGCTCTTGAAGGCATGGGAAACTCTCATCTTCCCGACAAATGTTCCATTCTTCCCATTCTCTCATCTCTTTAAAACTTAAGTATGAAAGGCAACGAAATGGAGCATTGGAGGAGCCATTCCCATAAAACTCTTCCCCTATCACCTTTATTCCATGCAATTCGGTAATCTCAAGTTTCTCCAGAGAAGGTAGCTGCCCAAGAGGCGGTAAGTTCACACAGTTGGCACAACGTGTCAAAGATAAAGACACTAAATTGGGCAAAAAGTGTGAACCACCCAACCAGGATGGAAATTTGGTACCTCCGTAATGTTCAACAATGATCTCTTTTAAACTATTATTTGGCTCAAGCCCTTGTAATGTGTCTTCTTGATGTGGTCCTGCTTCACGACTATAGTCATACAACTTATAATTTAGACATAATTTATCCAAATGCTTTTCTTTTAAATTGGCATCTCTCAAATCCATGGGATTGTTTATGCATGCCATATGTGAGATGGTCAGTGAACCCATTAAATGGTTCAAGGTACCTAATTCCTTCAAACCTGACCTTCCTTTCTTTGCCACAACAAAATAATTCATTGTCCGGAGATGATTTAACTTTCCCATATGTTTTGGCATCTTTCTATGAAATAACAACCATCCAAGTCAAGATGACACAAGTTGATGAGCTTGTAAAAATTTGACGGAAACTCAACCAAGCAACGACAATCCCTTAATTTCAATGTTTTTTAAATTAATTAGCAAGCATATTGAATTTGGCAATTTTTCAATTGAAGTCTCAGAAAGATCCAGATAATGCAAGTGCTTTAAATTGCTAATATCATCTGCCAACGTTTTGAAATTTTGACATCCCGCCAAACATAACCCCCGTATGTACTTGAGATGAGAAAGTCTAGATATTATATCATCATTTGTGCCATGCATGATATCAAAGTTTTTGAAACTTTGACTTCCCGCTGAATATAACCCGTCTATGTACTTGAGAGGAGAAAGGGATCTAGATATAATATCATCAATCATGTCATGCATGGAGTTGAAATTTTCATGCAATAAGATGAAACTACGTAACTGGTGGCATTGGAAATTTTCAAAAGTTTCAAGATTTTCATTTGCTTTGCATCTATATGAAAAGTAGCGAGCCTTTGTTGAAATTTCTTGCACCCGACCAACCTCTAGCTGAACACAAAACTCTCCCATCACAGACTTTGCTAAATCGTTCAAAAGATCGTGCATCATGAAGTAATTGCCATTCTTTTTTGATCGTTCAAAAAATGACCTGGATTGTAGGTCATTGAAGATTTCGTTGCCCGCTTCTTCAAAGTTCTTACTTGTGTGAGTAGAATGTAACAAACCTTCAGCCATCCACATCTGAATAAGAACATCCTTCTCTATCAAGTAATCTCTTGGAAAGATGGAACAAAATGCAAAGCAACGCTTGAGATTAGAAGGTAAATAATGGTAGCTCAGCCTTAAAGATGGGATTATCTTGCTCTCATCCTCTGATAAGGACCAAATATCACTCTTCAAAATTTCACCCCAATATTGAGGAGCTGGTTTTGTGCCCAGCAAACTTCCCAATGTTTTTATTGCCAAAGGCAACCCTCCACACTTGCCAACAATTGTTCTACCAATTGATTCAAGTTCTGGATCAATACATTGGTCGCTAAATGCATGGTTTGCAAATAACTTCCAAGGATATTCATCTTGTAATGGCTCTAAACAATGAATATATCTGGACCGCGTGACTTCTGCGACGCGTTTTTCACGTGTTGTAATGAGAATCTTACTTCCTGGAGCTCCATAGTTGAAAGGAATTCGAAAGGAGTCCCAGATAGTATGATCCCGATTCCATACATCATCAAGAACCAAGAAAAATTTCTTATCCTTCAACTTGTCCTTTAGTTGACACTGATGTGGATCTAAATCATCTGATTGTTCGAGTTCAATTTTACCATCAAGTGATTTAAGAATCGCTTTTGTAGCTTGAACAGATCAAACTCTTCGGAAATGCATACCCAAGCTTTGTGTTGAAATTCTTCTGTTATCATTTTGTCTTCGTAAACAAGCCGCGCAAGAGTTGTCTTACCCATCCCACCCATACTTGCGATGGCAATCACATCCACTGGGGATCGATTCCTACCCTTGTTGGGTGACATTAAAATCTTGATTAGTTTCTCTTTATCAGGACCTCTACCAAATATATCAGCTTCATTGATCAAAGATGATTCTGGAAATCTCTTGAAAACTCTCCTAGTCACTCCCCCTTGAGTGAGTAAGCCAGAGCCATCCTTCAACCTCAGCCGCTTCCTCTGATTTTCTAAGAAATCTAGGTACGCTACAAGTTTCTGGACCCTAGTTTCGATTTCCTTTTCAAAAGATTTCACCACGGAAGTCAAGTGGTTGCGTAGTTTACCTGTGGTGGGATGAAGTTCAAGTTGGAGCTTGCGTCGAGAGGCCTCGGTTGCAATCTCAAGCAGCAGATCCTCAGCCTGGAACACAGCATCTCTGAGCTCATCAAGCCAGCGCTTCACATAAGGGTCTCTGTATTGCCTCTCCTCAGCATCTTCAATGACTTTGTTGAGACTGTTAAGGGTCACGTCCACGTCCAGTTTTTTCAGAAAGAAGCCGTCCTGCAGCTTTTTGACTCGGAAGAAGTCAAGAATGTCACCAGAAGCCAATCTCTTAAGAAGTGCCTCAATGGCAGGGGAGAGAAATGCTCCAACCAGCACCTCAGCCATGGCTTGTTATGTAAAACTTTGCACAAGCAAGTATTGAGCAGCAACGGATGATGAAAACCGAGGAGAGATGGAAGAAGAAAGTAAGGTTCGTTGGTGGAAGGTTTGTCACTTTGTTGTTTGATTGTTGGGAATTACTCCGAAATTGAAGTCAGAGATAATGTCTGCGTGATGCATATTGGTTTGCTTTTCCACAAAGACTTTTCATAATTCCGTTCTGCTACTGCTACCTGCCGGCTACTATATTCTTGTTTTCACATTCTCATTCTCATATGGACGAGGATGGATAATTTTTATTCCAGCATATTATTACTTTTAACCCAAATGAAGTGACTCCTGTGATTGGTTTTTTTTTTTAAATAAAAATAAAAAAGTGCCCATTTGAGTTACTACGGTTGGAGTCATGCATGTTTAATAATTTCTCTAATTTGTTGGATAGGGTTAATAATTTTCTATGAACCTAACTCATGTTTTATCTTGAATAACGAAATATTTTGACATATTTTATCTTGTAATGAAATATAAGTATGGATGCCTATATATCTGGGTTCAATATATGAAAAATGCGGATCAAATTAATAATGTCTCAATATTTAATTGGAAGCTTTTTCATCAACATGATATGATATGAGACATATTCAGACCAAGATATTGATTGAGTTTATCTTATTCCAACCCCATGCTAAATCTAATAATTTTACAAGTATTAAATTTTTGGGACTTTTGCAAATATAACCAATCTTAAATGATCAAATCAACAAATAGTCCAACATTTATTATATATTGCATTATGCATGATTTATTATCTTTTTTTAATTTAATAATAAACTCTTTGTATATTAATGTGAACTAGCCATACTCCCAAATTTTTAAAAAGTTAATCCATAATTTTTGAGCACAATTTTTTTTGGGCCAATGGGCCAATTTATCTTTATTTTTTTTGCCTATTTTAATAAGGGAGAATTATATTAAAATCCCACATAAAGAAATTAATTATTGTAAAGTTCATTAACAACTGAATTAAACTATATCGTTTAGTTTAGTTTAATTGTCAATGAATCTTGTAATAATTAATTTTTTTTATGTGAGATATGATTGTAATTCTTCCTTTTAACAAGACCCTATTACATTGATAAGTATTTTCTTGAGATTGAGGAAATTAGTTAAAATTATATAAATGTAGGAATTTTACTTTACAAAAACAGTGTGATAGTTTTATTGGATGGAAAGGAGAGATATAGAAAAAATATTATTCAAACTAAGAGAAAGAGATAATAGTATTTTATAAAAATAAATCACAAAGGTTTTATTAGATTCTATAAAGGATCTTGTACAAGGTAATTAATGAGTAGGATTTTATAAATAAAACCAGGGAAGCAATAAAATGCAATTTTGAGTTATTACGTTTGGGTGTCTCGTTCAATAATTTTGACTCTATCAATTTCGTAAACGAGTCAATTTTGTTCACTTGGTTGGTTGGTAATTACTGTGAAATTGAAATTAAACTTCCAACTAATATAGATAGGGTTCATCAATTGTACTTGTCACATATGAGTCAATTTTCTGAGACAGCTCATTTTCGTTCAAATATGCCAATTTCTCCAATTCTATTCCATGACTGGGTCAATATCTTCTTCGTAAATACAAATACTGTTATATGCAATTGTTGGCGCTGGTTTTTTTTTTTTTTTTTTCCCTGGCTGTGCATGTGTGTGAGAGGAGCTTATTTTCAAGCAATGCAATAAACCTGACTCTAAATCAAACAATGAGTTCCTGATCCTTTGGCACAATATTGCATGCACTCAAAAATTTAAAAAAAAAATTGAAGCAATAGAGAAGGAGCAAAATGCAAGAACCACATAATAGGAACACACATGGTATTATTACTGTCCTCACATAAATGGAAAAAAAAATGTAATATGGAAAAATAGAAGAAAAACGTCGAAGCTGCAATGCTACTGTGCTATTAGATGCTTTTGCTCTCCTGTCCTGTCATTTAGGGGATTTGCTACACCCTAATGAATGCATGCTAATGTAGAGGAATTGAATAGAATTTTCATGAAGTGTCTCTTTATTGTCTGTGTGTTAGTTCAAGCATTGAAGAGATTGGAGAGAGTCTGAAGGGGTCTTTTACTTCCCTTTTTACATATCAAAGTGACAGTTTTAATCTTGCTCCTTATTACACTCTTCTGGGACAACTTCGTGCAATTTTATCCAAACTTTTTATATTGCACCGAAATCATTAATTGTGAAGGGAATAATTTGGACCAAACTAAATAAGCTCAAAAAACTTAAATGAAGCTTGAGAGTTTAAAAAATTTTCTTTACTCTAAACTTGTTTGGATCACTAGAAAGAGCCTAAAGAAATTTAGATCAAACCCAAACTCGAACAAGCTTAATTCGAATACTCAAATTCTTTTTTTAGTATTAATAACATGAAATTAATATTCATTTCAATTTTCACTTAGCCTTCACAAGTCCTCTTCCAAACTTTTATTTCACATATTTGCACTCCTAAATAAAGTTTTAATGCTATGATAATTATTTGTTTTGAATATTTTTTAAAATATTTTAAAAATAAACACAAGAGGTTAATTTATATGCTTTCATTTTCATTTTTTTTATGCTTGGTCTCACTTTAATAAGGATGAGAGAAAAGGTGTATTGTAGTGTTCTTCTGCTTGAAAAATCTTAATTTTTTAATGTAAAAATTAAAATTGGCTAAAAATAGAGAAAAATAATAGCAAAAATGACAATTAGAGACCTTCTAAGAACATTAATAATAATTACAGACTCTGAATTATTGAAATCTCAATAATAAATCATGATCTTTACTTGCAATTAAAAAAATACAAATAATAAATCAAAAAATTTACTAAATACACTTAAGATTATTTGTAACGTTAATTAAAAATTTATGAAAATGAATTGTGAATTTTAATTTTTTACTTTCAATATATCTATAAATAATTTGGAAAATCAAGTAAATACATTTGGGATTATTTGTAACTTTAGTTAAAAATTTACGAGAGTCAGTTGTGAATTACAAGCCAATCATTTATAATTTTTTTATTATCAATATATAAATAAATCACTTAAAAAATATACTAAATATACTTGAAAGTATTCGTAGCATTTGTTAAGAATTTATGATAGTTAGTTATTAATTTCAAGCCAATTACTTTTCCATCATTTAAAAAATCAACAAAAAATAATTGAAAATCTTTGTAACGTTAGTTAAAAATTTATTAAAGTTTGTTGTGAATTTCAAACCAATCAATAAAAAATAATTTATTGCAAGTAAGGATTATGGTTTATTATTACAATTTAAATAATTTGGGTTTATAATTGTCATTAATGTTCTTATGAAGTCTCTAATTGTCATTTTTTTTAAATAATATAATATTTAATAATTCAGGCATTCAAGCCAAGCTTGCCTTATGAATTTTTTCACATTTCAAATATTTTAAATCTAATCCAAATAACCTTAGTCTATCCAAATTATTCACTCTAATTAGTTGGGGTCAATGCCATGTAATAAAGCTGACTGCTATATTACCCTCAAATCAAATCAAATCAAATCAAATATTTTTTTAAGGATTAGACTAATTTATAACAATATCTTCATTACTACAAAAATTATCATGTGCAATATTATAGTTAATGGATTCATCAAGTCAAGAAAATGCTCTTATGTAATCATTCGTTACGTGAAAATGCTTGGCACGTAGCAACTCTATAATTGAAGATCTTCATCCAAATTGTACGCGTGGGAAAACAAAGATTTGAAAAATAAAAAGAAAGAAACGAATTGATATGGAATATATGATATTTTTATTTGCTCGATTGGAATATATCAAAAGGCTAAATTTATAAACTTTCTTTACAATTCTCTGTTTTCTAATGGGCTTGCTGCTGGGGTAATCAAGTTTCATTCAACTCGAATATCGGATTTTATTAATTTAACCGAAGAAGTAATTCGGCCTTATCAGAGAAACAAATTGATTGGTTTGTTCATAATAATAATAATAATATTGATACTTAATCCACTCTGTTTTGGAGAATCAAATCAGAGGTGGTGTTGTAATAATTTCTTGCTTCTCCACATATATGTCAAAGGTTGAACGAGGACTGTACCGGGTGTTTGTATGTGTTATATATATTAGATGTTAAGAAGAATTGTTGGAAGGATAATTCTTGAATATTGTTGATGGTCTGCAAAGCACGATTCTGATATTCTGCATTTGTTAAAAGTTCACAAGATTGTAAAAGAAGACAATGGTTCAGCAATTTCCAGTTCAATGAAAAGTCCACATCCACTCAACAGGTTCATGAGTTCTTTCAATTTGCACCCTGCATCATCTCTTCCAAACAAGACACGTTCATGCATGCATTTCTTTTCCCATCGGTTTAACTGATTTCATTAACTGATTTAATTGATTCAGTAATGTAGGCCTATACACCAAACAAAATTGATATCCATGTGTGGTAAGGATGCATGGAATTTAATTAATTAAGCCAAGCCATAAAACAGAGTGCTTCTACTTCAATTGGTTCCATCTCCACAAATTTCAGACATCACTTCAGTACCATAAAAGTAACATACACATTTCTTATTCCTAGGATTGAGTTGGAGAGGGGAGAGAGAAAATCTTTCTCTTTGATCCCCCCTCCCTTTTTTTTTAAGAAAAAGGGACAGTGCCTCCAATCAACAAAGGGGAGGAATACTGTGGTTACACAATCAACAAAAATAAATACATCAAAATTTTAAAGATCATCAGTACCATCTAAAAACTATAAAGCCTATTACTTTCTAAAATAAAAAATACACAATACCAACCAAACAAAAAAAAAAGAAAAGAAAAAAATACGCGAAAAATAAATCATAGAAACAAATAACCAGCGAAAAGAAAAAGAGATTCTGGCATTCTAAAAGTTGTCTCAGCTCCCATCATACAACAAGCTCAAAGTTGAATTCTATTTCCTTAATTGTTTCTGGCATATATTCCTTAATTGTTTCTGACATTCATATATGCCATATGAAGTTTCCCTTAACTCAGCTGGCATGGCACTGAAAAATAGAGGACATAACCAACAGTACCAAGTTAGTAGACTGACGAATTAAGTTGCCATGTTTTGAAATTCTTAGAAGTCATATGGTGACACAGATTTTAGGACAACACAACTTGAAAAGATAGAATGTTTCCTCACCAAAATTCTTCTCTGATATATCTCACTCCACACTTCTGATCCATTCATTCATTTATTTGAGAATTATCAATTTAACAGAAATGACCATTAGTAAGGAGCAGTGATCCGATTTCTTTTTCTTTTTTCTTTTGGGCCAAATATGAACTAATATAGCATATGATGAGAAATGGAAAAGTGCAGAGAATTGCTAAGCATATAGGATTAATACAGAGGAAGTACCTTTTCAAGCATCACAAGCAGTTTTCATGTGCTGTTCTAAGAAACTGCAGAATGGAGCTTCAGGAATCTTGCCATACGATAAATACAAAACATTATAAGGTCTTAATCATGCAATAATTTAGAGGAATGATAATAAATGAAAAAAAATTCAGCCGTTAATTTTTACCCACAATGATGAAATAGCCTGACTAAATCCATTTAGCTCAGGTCATAAAATAATACAGTAAAAAAAACTATTTATATAAGACTATCTATTGACTCGCTAATAAAAGTATAACAACGTTATTTTTCTTTAAAAGTTCACCAATTGATAGAAATTTAGAAAATGTAGAAGAACAAATACCCTCTTTGCTTGTGTATAAAAAATCAAGATAATATAAAGAAGTAAAAAAAATTTAAAGTATGAATAGGGAAAAAAAAAACAAATTTCAAACTAGAATCAATAGCCACAATGAATACCGCAAGTGTTGAAGAAGTGATAATATAGCTGATTGTTTGATATGTTTTAAAATATTAAGTAAAGAGGGGTATTTGTTTTGATTTATATATATAATCACCATTAGGAAGGAGTAGATGATCTGATTTTTTTTTTTTTTTGGTTAAATATAAAAGCTAAATCTATTGATGTAAAACAGAGTAACAGAATGTGTTGTGATTCATAACCGAAAACTGATAACTATCAATCACTAGAGATTTAATATGTAACTGAAGAAGATCTCGAACATACAAATGACCTTCAAAAAATGTCTCAGTAAAATACTGTGCATTTATTCATGCAGAAACGGGGACAACAAAACACGGAGGAGAGATTTTTTTAATAAAAAAATTATGAAATATTTAGAGAGGATTTTTCGTTAATGGAAAGTAGTGGACGTTGTCGAGTAGGCATGCGGCATTTGTAAAGAGGAAGTGCGTACCTTTTCCAGAATAAGTAGTATTGATAAATGATGTTGTTCTGCTCCAAGAAACTTGAGATATTAGCTATAGGAATGTCTATCCAAATTAAGAAGAGTCCATATGAGAGAGATGTAATTAAAGTGAGCATGCAATGATATAATTTCGATGAATGATAATAACTGAAAAACAAAGACAAAATGATGAATTATTAAAAACATGAATATTGTCCACGTGTGGATGAATTACCTTTGAGCAGAATGAGAGTCAAGCTCTGCGTATGGAGACATGAGGGATACGAGCAATTTTAGGCCAATCTGGTGCTGTCTGATTTTTACACCTCTCCTCCAACAACGAACAATCTTGGATAGATAAATGAGAAAGGGATGGAGGGAAACCATTTTCTGGCATGCCTTCAAAACTCATGTTTGGACAGTCTCGAAAAGATAAGGAAGCAAGGGAATGAAGGTGGAGAAGACCCCTGTAATTTAATCTTCTCAAGTTGTGACAACCTGAGAATGAAAGAGATTGGAGGCTGGACGGCAGCAAGCCCTCCTCAGGGAAGGACTCCCCATCTTCAAAGTCATGATCACTAAATGAAATTTCTTTCAACCGATTTTCACCCAAAACCATATACCAAGACAATAAGGTGATCTTCTCCACGATGCCTCTGAAGAGTGGTAAATCTGGTAGGGCGGAAAGCATGCCTCCTCGATCTCGCCGTGTTAATTCCCTCCATGTGCGCACATCTTTTACTGTAATCTTCTAACAGCTCCTCAACCATATACGTTCCGTGCAAGAAGACATGGGAAGTGTTGCCTCCATATTTCTACAGCCAATTATGGATAATTTTTTTAAACGAGGAAGGTGTGGAGGTAGAGACTTTCTCAATTTAGGACAATTATATATATGAAGCTCTTGAAGGCACGGGAAACTCTCATCTTCCCGACAAATACTCCATTCTTCCCATTCTTCCATGTCATAAAATATTAAATATGAAAGGCGACGAAATGGAGCATTGGAGGAGTCATTCCCATGAAACTCTTCCCCTATCACCTTTAGTCCATGCAATTTTGTAATCTCAAGTTTCTCCAGAGTAGGTAGCTGCCCAAGTGATGGTAAGTTCACACAGTTGGCACAACGTGCCAAAGATAAAGACACTAAATTGGGTAAAAAGTGTGAACCACCCAACCAGGTTGGCAATTTGGTACCTCCGTAATATTCAACAATGATCTCTTTTAAATTATTATTTGGCTCAAGCCCTTCTAATATGTCTTCTCGATGTGGTCCTGCTTCACCATTATAGTCATACCACTTATAATTTAGACATAATTTATCCAAATTTTCTTTTAAATTGGCATCTCTCAAATCCATGGGATTGTTTATGTACTCCATATGCGAGATGGTCAGTGAACCCATTAAATGGTTCAAGGCACCTAGTTCCTTCAAGCATGCTCCTCCTTTCTTTGCCACAACAAAATGATTCATTGTCCGGAGATGATTTAACTTTCCCATATGTTTTGGCATCTTTTTTATGGAATCACAACCATCCAAGTCAAGATGACGCAAGTTGATGAGCTTGTGAAAATTTGATGGAAACTCAACCAAGCAATGACAATCCCTTAATCTCAATGTTTGTAAATTAATTAGCAAGCACATTGAATTTGGCAATTTTTCTATTGAAGTCTCAGAAAGATCCAGATAATGCAAGTGCTTTAAATTGCCAATATCATCTACCAACTCTTGGAAATTTGTACATCCCGCCAAAGATAACTCTCGTATGTAATTGAGATGAGAAAGTCTAGATAGTCTATCATTTTCGTCAAAAAATACGTAGCCATCCAATAGGATGAAACTACGTAATTGGTGGCATTTGAAATTCTTAAAAGTTTCCAGATTTTCAGTTGCTCTGCGTCTAAATGAAAAGTATCGAGCCTTCGCTGAAATTTCTTGCACCCGACCAACCTCTAGCTGAACACAAAACTCTCCCATCACAGACTTTGCTAAATCATTCAAAAGATCATGCATCATGAAGTAATTGCCATTCTTTTTTGATGGTTCAAAAAATGACCTGGATTGTAGGTCATTGAAGATTTTGTTGCCCACTTCTTCAAAGTTCTTACTTGTTTGAGCAGAATGTAACAGACCTTCAGCCATCCACAACTGAATAAGAACATCCTTCTCTATCAAGTAATCTTTTGGAAAGATGGAACAAAATGTAAAGCAACGCTTGAGATTAGAAGGTAAATAATGATAGCTCAGCCTTAAAGATGGGATTATCTTGCTCTCGTCCTCTGATAAGGACCAAATATCACTCTTCAAAATTTCACCCCAATATTGTGGAGTTGGTTTTGTGCCCAGCAAACTTCCCAATGTCTTTATTGCCAAAGGCAAGCCTCCACACTTGCTAACAATTGTTCTACCAATTGATTCAAGTTCTGAATCAACACATTGGCCGCTAAATGCATGGTTTGCAAATAACTCCCAACAATATTCATCTTGTAATGGCTCCAGGCAATAAATATCTCTGGACCACATGACTTCTGCGACACATTTTTCACGTGTTGTAATGAGAATCTTACTTCCTGGAGCTCCAGATTTGAAAGGAATTCGAAAGGAGTCCTAGATAGTATGATCCCGATTCCATACATCATCAAGAACTAAGAAAAATTTCTTATCCTTCAACGTGTCCTTTAGTTGACGCTGATGTGGATCTAAATCATCTGATTGTTCAAGTTCAATTTTACCATCAAGTGATTTAAGAATCGCTTTTGTAGCTTGAACAGGGTCAAACTCTTCGGAAATGCATACGCAAGCTTTGTGTTGAAATTCTTCTGTTATCCTTTTGTCTTCGTAAACAAGCCGCGCAAGAGTTGTCTTACCCATCCCACCCATACTTGCGATGGCAATCACATCCACTGGGGATCCATTCCCACCCTCGTTGGGCGACATTAAAATATTGATTAGTTTCTCTTTGTCAGCATCTCTACCAAGGATATCATCTTCATCTATCAATGACGATTCCGGCAATCTCTTGAATACTTTCCCCTTCACAATCACTCCTCCTTGAGTCAGTGCGCCAGAACCATCTTTCAACCCCAGCTCATCCCTCTGTTTTGCTAAGCATTCAAGGTAGTCGACAAGTTAATGGATCCTTGGTTCGACTTGTCTTTCAAATGAATTCACAATGGAAGTGAAGCAGTTGCGTAGTTTACCTGTAGTGGGATGAAGTTCAAGTTGGAGCTTGCGTCGAGAGGCCTCGGTTGCAATCTCAAGCAGCAGATCCTCAGCCTGGAACACAGCATCTCTGAGCTCATCAAGCCAGCGCTTCACATAAGGGTCTCTGTATTGCCTCTCCTCAGCATCTTCAATGACTTTGTTGAGACTGTTAAGGGTCACGTCCAGTTTTTTCAGCAAGAAGCCATCCTGCAGCTTTTTGACTCGGAAGAAGTCAAGAATGTCACCAGAAGCCAATCTCTCAAGAAGCGCCTCAATGGCGGGGGTGAGAAACGCTCCAACCAGCACCTCAGCCATTGCAATTTTCTGTAAAAGTCAGCGCAAGGTATTGCAGAGGAAAGAAAGATGGAAACTGGAGAAAGAAAGATGGAAGAGGAAAGTGAGGATAGTTGATACTTTGGGTCGAAGGATATATTGACGAAATTGCTCAGACATTCGAATCCGACATAATGAGTGATTCCCTTTCTTTTTCTTTTTAGGTGGGGCCACACTTTTCAAAAGCAAAAGGTACAAACAGCCAACGTCTATTTCTTCTCTTTGCTATTTTACGTTTACTTCCCCTTTTAGAAGCCATCTTAAATTGGAATTTTGTGTTGATTTAGACTCCATCTATAATGCTCAATACTCATACACAAAATCTTATTAAAAACTTAAAACTAGGCCTAACTTAGAGATAATTGGTGTTAGGTCACATATTTGTTTAATTATTTGGACAATTTTGACTTCAAATTATAAGATCAAGAGTATTTGAAAAAAAAAAACCCTAATTTTGTGTGTGCCATTTTTTCAAATTAATATTTAAAAACATCTTTTTGTGTCCCCTCTCATTAATTATGAAGATATTAATTGTTAAGTCATATGATAATATGAGAGAAAATATAGACTTCATAACACAAAAAATAACAAGTGTTACGTTGTAATTAACGAAAGGGGCACATTGTGACGTTTTTAATCGTTAAAATATAAAATTACATATCTCTGTGTGTGTGTGTGTGTGACCAGAAGGAGCAATAAATATACAATGTATTATGAGATACTAAATAAAATAAAAATATAATTAACAGCAGGGGTGAGTAATGCTCCAGCCAGCATCTCAGCCATTCTTGTTCTGTAAAAGTGAGCACAAGGCATTGAGCACCAAGCGCGAGAGAGAGAGAGAGAGATGGAAGAAGAAAGCTAAGTGAGGTTCTCGTTGATGTTTCATTCATATTATCAGTCAAAATGGTCTGCGCACCGGAGTCACATGCAAACTGAGCAGCGCAATGCTAATATTAGGATTATTATAGTAGTAGGTGCTTTGTTTAAGGTAATTGCAGCTTAATCAAGCTCCCGTGCCATTTGATTCCTGATGAGAGACTCTCTTTGTGGCCGAACTCTTTTGTCTGTGAGTGATGTTGACATCAATATTCAATATTAATGCGTGCGTACTCTTCTCCAGCATGTTGCTTCAAAAATTTATTAATCAATATATAATCATGTTTCACGAAGTCCCGGAATTTTATAATCCCAAATTTCATAAAAATGAATTCTACGCCAACTGATAATATTAGTTATATCAAATTTCAACATTAACAAGCCCCCATCCACAAGGTTTGATTCATCATCTATTGAATGCCCTCCCACTTTACTCGACTAGTAATATTATTATTTTGGCCAAAAAAAAAAACAACTATTTTCCACTTGGCTTGCAGCGTGTTTGGATAGATCGTGCAATCAATTTTTGAGGCAAAATAATTGATTTAAGTAAAAATTACCCAAACAATAAAAAAAATTGATAATTAATTATTGAGTTAGAATTATGTTTTTAAATAAGCTATAGGAGGTTGTTTATAAATTTAATTTTACTGTTAAATGATATAGTTTACTTTTTAAATAAAGTTTAACAAATTTAATAATATTAAATATAATTTTGTCAATAATTTAGTTTTAAAAAGTAATGTCTTTTATGATAATTTGTACAGCTAAAATTAATTAAAAAAACAGTATACAAATAGACTATCTTATAACATAATTAATTATAATCAAAATCAATCATATTAATCAATTATTTTCATAATTAATTATATCCAACTGAAATCCACACGGGCCTTAAGTTTTAGATATTTTAACTGCACATATTTAAGAGAAAATCTCCAATTGCATGTTTTTCAGGATGATATAGTTTTTATAGTAGAGTTAAGAGAAGAGATTAATTACAAACTTAAGCTATGAAGGACAACCTTAGAGTTGAAGGGTTTCCACTTGAGTATTAATAGAAATGAGAACATTAAGATAAATGTGCGAGCATAAATGAAAAGATAAAATTTAAAATAAGTATATGTAAGAAAAAGTGACTGTGGTATTTGGTGAGGGGAATATGGAAGAAAATAGTTTAGATTGTTTGGACATATAAAGAGAAAGTCGTGGGAGGCACTAATAAAGAGATTGGAAATGATAATCTTGAGTTTTGTAAAGAACGATTGAGGAAAACCAAAAAGAGCACTTATAAAAGTTATTTAACAAACCCTTTTAGTTAATAATATGATGGTTAAAGTATACTTTTAATCCTCTAATCTTATAAAGTTTCAGTTAAGTCCCTTAATTTTATAAAGTATCTTTTTAATCCTTTAACTCTGATATCGTTAGTTTCAAATGATTATTTTTTGTATTATTCATTGTTTTTAAAAAAATTAAACTTAATATGTCAATATTTAGGAATATTTTTGTTAATTTTTAAAAGTTTAACGTAAAAATTTATTAAGATGAAACTAACAATGCTATGGTCAAGGAATTAAAATGATATTTTGTATAAAGTTAAATGACTAAATATATACTTTAGCCATAATATGATATTTTTAAAAGTTTGATTGATGATGCAGCACAATGATGTGGTGCAATCTATATAATCAACCCTCATCTCACGAGATATGATTTGTTGTTGTTGTAATTGCATGATAAGTCCACTATTTTTTTTCAATATAACTATCGGAATTAATGAGTCAGACTTAAACATTGTTAAGTTCAATTAAAAAAAATTATCAAAGAAATTTTTTACATTCACATAAATTTAAATCCGAAATTTTGTGTTCAAATAGTCATACACATTCTAATAAGTCCACTTGCCACTGTTAATTATGAAATATGAGTTGGAAAGGGCCAACCCAATATTACCAGATTATGATGTACGGATTATTTCATGACTTCAGTTCGCTAATTTTGGCTAGAGGTCGTTGTGGGAGTATCACGCAAAAATAGTGATATAATAGGATATATAGCACAGATGCCGTAGCCCAATTTATAAAATAGGCCAACATTTCTAGATTTATTATAAGTTTTATCCTTTAAATTTAACGATGAATGTATAGTTATTTTAACAAATTCAAAAAGATTATAACTAATAATTTAGGCCAAACTTAATAGACTAACTTAAATAAATCATAAAAATCTTGAGGCTAAGTCAAAAGTTCAGAAAATTTTCTCAACTTGAGTTTTATTTGGGCCACCTAAGTCTAAAGAAATTTAAGCAAATTCCAAACCTAAATGAGCTGAGCCCATTTAAGCCTGAGATGTTAGGGCTTGGTCTAGATATATATGGGTTTTTTTAATATATGTTTAGGTATTTTAAGTTTGATTAGAATAAGCCTTATCTAAATTGAGTTTGACTCGTCAGAATTATTGGCTATTAAAAAAGTTTAGCTCTTTTATAAAATGAATGAGTATCTATTTATCATTCTTGACTTAAGAATACCAGAAACTCCTAGAGAAAAAGTTTTTGAATATTTTGGCACATAATATTTTTGCTTCCTTTTTTTTAATGGTTAAAATTAACAGACCTTAGGCAAATTTAACAGTTCAAGGAAGGATGCCCTCATTGAAAAGAGTTCATGGCTACTCTTGCATTTTTTTTAACTTAAAGATATTGGATGCTAGCTCTTGGTAAAAAGAGTTCTTATGCATTTTTGCCCTTTAACTCTAGTTTTTTAATGGGGGTAATCATATTGGAATTAGAGTTTGTATTATTTAGATTTACCTAAATAGTTGGTTTGATGAATTGTGATTCATGAATATGGTGATACTTTTTTTTTAATTTAATGGATTGATTATGTTTGTCGGAAGTTACATTAAGAATTAATCGATTTAGTTTGTTGATTGAAGTTGATATTTACAAAGTAAATATTTTGGGTAGAACTCTAACTGTAGAAAGTTGAGAATTTGAATGTTTTAAGGTTGTAGATTTTAATTAAGAATATCTAATAAGTTATTTTAGATTAGCGAATGATTGAGATGGTGTTATATGTGAGAATTGGGAATTTAGAAGAAGTTTCAAATTTAATAATTATTACTGTTGTTGTTGTTATTGGAGATTTATTTTTGTGTGCTTGCCTTTGAATTAAAAGATTGTTTAAGTAAACTTTTATACAAGCTTCCAATAAGTATAATGAAATAAAAATTATAATGAAATTATTTGTTATATTACATTGCTTAAAAACCTAGTAAAGTGGGATGACTATTATATTTATGAAGTGATTTATGTGAAACAAATAATTGAGCTTGAGAATTGTCCGTAACTAATTTTATTTTCTCTCATAATGCAACTCTCAGTTGAAGAGCTTGGTGAAATTTAGTAACGTGGGTGAAACCTATTATTATTTATAACTCATAAGTTCAGTCAAAGTGAATAAAAAAGATTATAAGAGATGTTAATCATTATCATGCATATTTATTATGATTATTATTGTTGATTAACTCCTTTCCCCCACTTTACTACTTGTAATCCATTATTGCATATTCTTTTAAATTATCTTTTGGTTATCAGAACATTATCTCACCTCGTTGTTTATTAATATTTACAAGTGAAAATTCTAACAGTCATGAAAGAAGGACTTGGGAGGCTTGAGGCTACTAGTTTCCTTGTAATGACCTCTTAGATTTATTTCATGTGCTGGATATTTATATATTGTCAATTAGGAACATTTTCCTACTTTGATTATTTATTTATTAATTGTTGTATGAGAGTGCTTGTAAATGACTGAAATCTTAGGTTGTTGCATGTGCCATGCTATTTGAATTTGTTGACAATGGAATGATTAATGTTTTGGATATGGACATGATGAAAAGCATGATTGAAGGTGATGTTATGTGAATTGTAATGTAAAATTGATTTCAATTAACTGTTTGGGCTTCCAAATACCCTTGCCCACTTGTTTTTTTTTTTTTTTGCAATGTCATGTATAGATTAGTTTTTTGTCAATGAAATGAGTTTTTGAAAGGATTATATTCTTTGTAAAATATTTTAGTAAGAATTGTTCTATCTATTATGGTGGTAGGAGATCATTATCATGGTTTTTTTTTTCTCCAGATATAATGTGTTCTCTTTCCAATCATAGTAGGTTTTAATTGTTACTTTTATCCTTTAATTATCTACTATGGTTGATTAATTATAAGTGTGTTTGATTTTCTTTTTAACTATGGTACACTTTTTTAATTAGAAGTTTTGTCTTTTTAGTTAACATGGTTAGTCTAATTATTGGTTTTAAACCTTTTTTTACTATAATGGTGTGATTTAAATTGAGTTTTATTCTTTTCGTACTTTTGCATATTTTGTTAAGCTGAATGGTTGAAAAAAAAAAAAAAGGCATTACATGGGAAATCCCACGTTAGAAGTTGCGGGTGGTAGCTGTCAGAAGGATAATTTTTTTAATATTCTTGATGATCTGCAAGCATAATATGGGTGTGTATTCACATATGATTGTAACAGAAGACAATGATTCTGCAATATTCCAAAGTCCATAAGAACTTAATGTATGAAATCTCAAAATAATAGTTTAGTTAAAAATGAAAGATTATCTCAAACATCCACAAGAACAAGAACCAGTGCTGATGTACGCCTTCACTTCACTCTCTGATCTCTGAGAATTCAAAAAAAAATCTGATGACCTTCGTCCACTCACCAACTTGGTGAACTCATTTGCAAATGGAACTTGAAAAGCTATACGCTATTTGACAAAGAACATGTCTTGATGCAGCAAGCTTTCATTCTTCTCTGTTGGAAGAAGACAAATTAATTTTCTTAAGAGAAAGAGAACAAACCTTGCAATGAAAGAAAAAAACACTGGATTTTGCCAATTCTATCAATACTTCACTAAAGTTCACATCCAGTCGACAGTTTATCAAGAGTTTTTTCCCATTCTTTCTCGGCATCATCTCATCCAAAGAAGACACATTCATGAATGCATTTATTTTCCTGATCGGTTTAACTGATTTTATTAATTTTATCAATTGATTTTGTTAATTGTAACCCCTTGCAAAGATGAAGATCAACTACATTTTGTAATGTTTGCTTTATGTCAAACAAACCGAAATCCATGTACGATAAGGATGCGTGAAAAGTAAATCAAGCCAAGCATAAAACAGAGTGCTTCTGCTTCAATTGGTTCCATCTCCACAAATTTCAATCTTCACTTTAGTACCATAAGAGTCACATACATATTTCTTATTTCTAGGAGTAATAGTTGGAGAGAAATTCTTTCTTTTTCATCCTTTTAAAAAAGAAAAAAAAAAGGATGATATCTCAAAATTTTATTGATAAACATTCACTTATAGTTGAGGAATACCATAGTTATACAGTCAACAAAAATAAATACATCAAAATTTTAGAGATCAATGCCAGTTAAAAACAATGAAGCCTATTATTTACCGAAATAAAAAATACACAATAAAAATGTCAACCAAACAAATGAAAAAAATAAAAAGAGACAATAGAATACATAACATTTTAATTAAAGAAACAAATAACCACACAAAAAAGGAGAGACTCCAGCATTCTAATTGTAGTCTCACAACTCCCATAGTATTAGAAGCTTAGAGTTGCATTCTATTTCTTTAATCGCTTCTGCCAATCATGTCTGCTGTCTGAAAAATAGAGGACATTACCCATGTGGTACCAAGTTATTAAACCGGTGAATTAAGCTGCTCACATGTTTTGAAATTCTAAAAGCCGATAAGGTGACATAGGTTTTAGGACAAGACAACACAAGAAATGAGAATGCTTCCTCACCAAAATTCTTCTCTGATGTAGTTCACTCCACAATTCTAATCCATTGATTCATGTATCTGAGAAATTTCCTTCATTCAGCTTCTTGAAATCTGCGCTCGAGAAAATACATGACCCAGTAAATTTTAAGCTTCAATTATAAGGAACCTTTTCTTTTAATCTAAAGATTAAACCAAAAATCCCTTTTTTTTTTTTGCTGCATTTAGTATCATACATTCTGCATGGGGGAAAAAGCGTGAGGTGTTAAAATAAATAAAAAAAAAAAAAAATCATAGGGTAAGGAGCAAATGAACAACATTACATGCAAAGGAATGAACCTTTAATTTCATGAATGGCAGTCCCATCAAAGCATTGCTCCATCGGGGGGAATGTACATAGCATCCTTACTCTTGAGTACGAGAGATGCCTTTTTAGCAGGGAATGAGAAGACGATGTCAAATAAACCTCAGGAAAACGAGAATTATTAATTATGAATGACATGAATATTATACATATATGGGAGTAAAGTGGATGAAGTACCTTTTAGAAGGGCATGAGAGTCAGTGTTCTGCATCTTAGTTTTGTTTTCATTTGATAATGAGTACATGAGGAATGTGAGCAATTTTAGGCCAATCTGGTCCTGTCTCCTTTTCACACCTCTTTTGAAGTATCGGACAATATTAAATTGATAAATGAGAAAGGGACGGAGGCAAACCATCCTTTGGCATGACTTGGAAACTCATGCTAGGACAGTTTACAAAAGATAAGGAAGTAAGAGAATAGAGGTGAAGAAGACCCCTATAATTTATTCTTCTCAAATTGGGACAATCTCTGAGTGAAAGAGAGTGGAGATTGGAGGGCAGCAAACCCTTCTCAGGGAAGGACTCTCCATCTTCAAGGTCACCAGTAATTACAAGTTCTTTCAAAGATAATAACTCATGCAAACCCCAATCCCTGCGAGATCCAGTGAGTTTGGGACAAAAAGAGATTAGAAGGCGTTGTAGGTTGGAAAGCATGCCTCCTCGAGGAAGTGATTCCTACTGTGCACAGTCATTTAATGTCAGGTCATGAAGAGGTTGAAGCACATCTGTGGAGCTCCATGTGGGCATGTCTTTTACTGCAATCTTCTGACAACCTGATAAGTAGAGATCTTCCATGCAAGAGGACTTGGGAAGTGTAGTCTCTAGTTTTCCACACCCTATAATAACTAGTCTTCTTAAAGAAGGAAGGTGTGGAAGTAGAGACTTTGTTAGTCTAGGACAATTGAGGATATGAAGCTCTTGAAGGCATGGGAAACTTTCATCTTCCTGACAAATATTCCACAATTCCCATTTTCCCATGTCATCAAATCTTAAATATGAAAGGCAACGAAATGGAGCATTGGAAGAGCCATTCCCATAAAACTCTCTGCCTATCATTCTTATTCCTTTCAATCCTTCAATCCTAAGTTTTTGGAGGGAAGGTAATTGCCCAAGTGGTGGTAAGTATACACAGTTGGTGCAAAATGAAAAAGATAAAGACATTAAATTTGGTAAAATATGTGAATCACCAAGCCAATTTGGAAATTTAGTGCCTCGATATCGTTCAACAATGAGCTCTTTTACACTGTGATTTGGCACAAGCACTTCCAATATGTTCTCTTCATGTTGTGCATCTACATGACGATGATTAAACTTATAACCATCCTGCCAATGCCATTGCAAATTAAGTTTATCCAACAGCTTTTCTTTCAAATTGGCCCCTCTCAATTCTGTAAGATCATTTATGAGCTGCATGTTTGAGATGGTTAGTGTACCTCTTAAGTGGTTTAAGGCACCTAGTTCTTTCAAACTTGATCCTCCTTTCTTTGCCACAACAAATTTGTTCATTGTCTGGAGATGATTTAACTTTCCCATGTATTTTGGCATCTTTTGTATGCGACAACCATCCAAGTCAAGATGACGTAAGTCAATAAGCTTGTGAAAATTGGATGGCAACTTAGTCAAATGATGACAATTTCTCAATTTCAATGTCTGTAAATTAATCAACAAGCACATTGAAAATGGAAAGCTTTGAATTGAAGTCCCAGAAAGATCAAGATAATGCAAATACTTTAAATTGCTAATATCAACTGAAAATTCTACGAAAGTTTGATATCCCCTCAAAGATAACTGCCGTATGTACTTGAGATGAGAAAGTTTGGATATTATATTATCATTTATGCAAAAGCTATAGAAAAAAGCTTCATCCCATTGGATGAAACTACGTAATTGGTTGCATTTGAAAACTTTCTCAAAAAATTCAAGATTTTTATTTTCTTTTCCTATATAAGAAAAGTAGCGAGCCTTTGTTGAAATTTCTTGTGGCCGATGAACATCAAGCTGCACACAAAACTTTCCCATCACAGACTTTGCTAAATCATTCATAAGGTCATGCATTAGGAAGCAATTGCCATTCTTTTTGATGGTTCAAAAAAAAGACCTAGACACTAGGTCATTGAAAATTTCATTGCCCACTTATTCAAAGCTCTTATTGGTTTGAGTGGAATGTAATAAACTTTCAGCCATCCATAATTGAATAAGAGCATCCTTCTCTATTGAGTAATCTTTGGGAAAGATAGCACAAAATGCAAAGCAACGTTTAAGATGAGAAGGTAAATAGTGGTAGCTCAACCTTAAAGATGGGATAATATTGCTCTCATCCTCTGATAAAGACCAAATATGACTCTTCAAAATTGTATTCCAATATTGAGGAGTTAGTTTTGTACCTAGCAAACTTCCCAATGTTTTTATGGCCAAAGGCAACCCTCCACACCTATTAACAATCCTTCTACCAATTACTTCAAGTTCCGGATCATCACATTGGTAGCTAAACGCATTGTTTGCAAATAACTTCCAAGGATATTCATCTTGTAAGGGCTCCAAAATATGAATATCTAGATTGCATGACTTTTGCCACCTCTTCTTCACGTGTCGTTGTGAGAATCTTACTTCCTGGAGCTCCGTAGTTGAAAGGAGTTCGAAAGGCCTCCCAAATCGCACGATTCCGATTCCATACGTCATCAAGAACCAAGAAAAATTTCTTACCCTTCAACTTTTCCTGTAGTTTACGTTGATTTGGGTCTAAATCATGCGATCTCCCAAGTTGAATTGAACAATCAAGTTCTTTAAGAATTGCTTTTGTAGCTTGAACAGGATCAAACTCTTCCGAAAGACATACCCAAGCTCTGTATTGAAATCGTTTTGTCATCCTTTTATCTTCGTAAACAAGCCGCGCCAGAGTCGTCTTGCCCATTCCACCCATACTTTTGATGGCAATCACATCCACTGGGTATTGATTCTGACCCTTGGTAGGGGATAATAAAATCTTGATTATTTTCTCTTTGTCAGCATCTCGACCAAAGACATGAGCTTCATCTATCAAAGAAGATTCTGGCATTCTCTTGAAAACTTTCCTCTTCACTCCCACTTGAGTGAGTGCCCCAGGGCCTTCCTTCAAGCCCAGCTCCTCCCTCTGCTTTGCTAAGCACTCTAGGTAATCAACAAGTTTCTGGATCCTTGGTTCGATTTGTTTGTCAAATGAATTCGCAATGGAAGTGAAGTAGTTGCGTAGTTTACCTGTGGTGGGATGAAGTTCAAGTTGCAGCTTTTTTTGAGAGGCCTCAGTTGCAATCTCAAGCAGCAAGTCCTCAGCCTGAAAGACTGAATGTTTGAGCTCATCAAGCCAGCGCTTCACATAAGGGTCACTGTATTGCCTCTCCTCAGCATCTTCCATGACTTTGTTGAGACTGTTAAGGGTCATCTCCAGTTTTTTCAGCAAAAAGCAATCCTGCATCTTTTTGACATGGAGGAAGAAGTCAAGAATCTCACCAGAATTCAATCTCTTAATAATTGCCTCAATGGCAGCGGAGAGAAGTGCTCCAGCCACCAACGCTAACTGATCAGTCATTGCTTTTTCTGTAAAACTTAGCAGAAGGTATTGATGATCGGCAACGGAGGAAGAAAACTGGAGAAAGAAAGATGGAAGAAGATAGTGAGGTTTGGTAATATACTTCAATAATATTATCAGTCGAAATGGTGATCTGCGCGTCGAAGTCAATACTAATTTCAAATAATATTAGGATTATTATAACAGGCAGTGTATCTGTTGTTTAAAGTAATTATAGCTAATCATGCTAACGTAAGTGGATCGTGAATCTAGTATCAATATTCAATAGTCAATCATATATTTACGAGTGATTTGCTTGTGGAATATATGAAGATGACGAAACCACAATATATATAAAAGAGAGGTTTGGATTATTCAAACTTGCTCATGGCTTGCGTTGCGTTGGCTTGCTTCTCTGACTCTCTATCCTTAATATTTTTTTTACTCTTTCCTTGTGCTTGTCTGTTCTTATTTGCTTAATTAGCTATGCTTCTTCGCACGTCCATATCGGTGAGATGATTGAGCAAGTTGTGGGAGAGGATGAACAAGCAGTAGTGTCATTGATTTTTGTAATTATTTATTTATTTCATTTGTTACTACTTTGTTTTATTTTCTTGTTATATTAGTTATTTTATATACTTTTAGTGAAATAATTTTTTAATTTTTATTTACTTTTTACGGCCAAAAATTATTTATTTTTATGGCTTTTTTAGTGAAATCATTTTATAACATTGTTTTTACTTTTAATATTGTTTTTAATTTTAAATTTACATATATTTATATTTTTATCCATTAAATAAAATACATATTATAAAATTCATGACTATTTTTAGTGATTAAACATCCGTATGTTGTTTAAATTTATTTACCCAAATATTATTCAATTTTGATAAACTGACTTTTTTGGGGAAAAAAAACATCTGAACATAAATCTCTTCATAATAACTAGTTCTTATCTAAATTTCAGTTTGCCAACTCTAATTTATAAAAACTTTAGTTTTACAAAAGCTAATTTAAACATGGACAAAGTCTTACTTTTGTCTTGCTACAAAAATTATAAAAAATAATAATTTATAAGTTCTTATAATTCACCTTAATATTTAATCAGATTTTTATAATTTATTTTATTTATATTGAATCCTTATGCTTTGATTTATCATAAACATCCATCATTACAGATAAAAGTTGTTATAGCATTATTAATATTAATAGTTGGATGCAGATTGACAGTGCATTATGTGGATGATACAGCGGCGGATCATACCGTATTTTAAAATTAAGGTGATGTTTGATTGAGAAAATTAAGTTATAACAGATATTTGTTTATCTTCTCCCAAGGACATTCTTTTTTTTTCTCCAAATTATTCCATGTTTATTATAAGTACTAAAGTTTTTTTTTTTTTATGTTATTGGAAGCATGGAAAACTTTAAAAGTTAAAACACATTAATTAACTCGAAAAAATTAGAGTAAAATACAGTGACATTTATTTATTTTGCTTAAATTATAAAGACCTCCCTTCTATTTTTCCAAACCTACACTTTAATCCAATTATTAATACTATTAGGAATATTTCATTAAATATTCTAAAATACTTAATTTTTTATTTATAATTATGTTGAAAATTTTAAAATTATTATTTTACCCTTATAATCCAATTTGTCTTCTCTCTCTCTCTCTCTCTCCCCCAATTTTGAAAACTTTAAATAAGTATATCGATATTTAAGTAAATTATTTAAAATTTTGTGTTAAAATTAAAAAATAAATATAAAATTTAGTGAGTAATTTATTATGTTAAGTGTTTATTTCATTAATTTTTTAACTACTTGTTTGAAATATTATTTTGGCTAATTTATATATTTAAAGTTTAGAAAATTTTACTAAATAATTACATTTATATAAATAAAAAATTTTAAATATAAATAAAAAAAAGTAAAAAAATATATATGCATTAATTTTTTTGGTAATTTGAATGATTTTTAAACAACATTTATATTTGAAAAAACAGTATTTTGATCTAACATATGTAGTTTAACAATTAACTAACAATTAAGTAATGGAAATGAAATCTTAAAACTAGACGGAATGTTTATGTTTTATAACTAAATATAATATGGTAGTCTCATGCAGGTTTCTAAAATAGAAAGGAAGTATTTGTAATTAATATAAAACAGAAGAAAAATTAGAATATTTTACTAAAAAAATTAATTACTTTTTAACTTTATTCTATGAAATTTATAATTTTAATAATATACTTTCTTTCGCTGACATTTAATAAAAGGTGAAAAAAATTATCATAAAAATTGAATCACGAGGCTTATAAATTGGGGGGGGGGGGATCTTTATCTCTATGCTTTATAATTAGATTGTAGACACTCATGAAAATAAATAAGTAGGGAAGGCACCTCATAAAAAAAAAAAAAAAAGTAGTGTAGATATGCCTTTACTCACAGGTCTTGAATTTAGAAGATCGGATTTCCAGGAAAGTTCCTTGTTGAACACCAAGTGGGACACACTCCCATTTGACTAAGTAGAGATAATGAAAGCAATCACTCACAAGTTTCTATAATAATTAGATTAAACCGATTTGTCTTATGATTTTCAAAATATAAACAAAGAGTACCCATCTGCTTATGCATGATATTTTACTTTTCAACAAATCAAGTATAAGCATAAGATATGAGATTAGAAAGCAGATCAAGTAGTATCCAGGAACAAATTCCAGAGTCTAATAAAGAGATATGAATTGCGGGCAGCCAAAATACAAGATCACGATTTGTACAATCTTATTTATCATTAAGTGCAAGTTCTTTAAATAACTTCCACAACTCCTCACCATGAAAATATGAATATCAGTTGAGCTCATGACTTCTGCCATCTTTGTATTACGTGTTGTTATGAGAATCTGAGGGATCCATGGTTGAGAATCCTACTGTATGTCAAACAACACTGAAATTCATGTATAATAAGGGCACATGAAAGTTTAACCAAGCCAACCACAAAAGAGAGTGCCTCCATATACCAATTGATTCCATCTCCACAGGTCCAATTTTCACATCAGAACCTTTCATACTTTTACATTGAAATACCCTCCATTGAACTCAAATAAATCTGCAATAGAGTACTAGACCTTCAGCACCAAGATGCTGCACTGGTGAAGATGAAGTGATGCTTACAGTGAAATATGATATAAACATGTGACCAAAATGCAATATTACTTCTTTTTTTGGCCCATCTTTTGGATCGTCTGCAAGTAACATAATCTGATACTAGCTAGCTAAAAATTTAATAGCAGTGCAAAGCATCCAAGAACAGCTATTCACATTATAGGTAACCAAATTTTTTTAAATGAGAACTGAAATATATTGATCACATGATGTCAAATACAGCCAACATGAAACAGAAAAACATCAAGAGGGAGACCATCTTTCCTCATTCACCACCTCTTGTAGGAAAGGTGGAGATTGATCAAAGATTACAAAAGGGGGAGCCATCATATGACCCTGTTCAGCTACCCAATGAGCATCCCAATTAGATTCTCTGTACAAAAAATAAAGAAAAAAAAGTCCAATCTAAATGCAGGAGACCAGTAGTATACTGCATAATGACAATGTAAGGATGATGGGGTAGATATTCACTTGTGAGAATGTTGATCGCTTTAGCACAATCAGAGAAAACTTAATCCTCTACCAGTGCCAAGTATTTCAAACATAGCAGGCGGATATTGAGGCAATTTACTGTAAAAGCCAAAAATCCAAGAGCCATTACCATCTCTAGACATGCCTCCACAAGTACTCAAGTCATTAGGCAGAATAGATCCATCCACTTTCAACTTAACAAAATCATTTGGCATCATAGTATTCACTAGTGTCTGTATAGACCTTTGTATTTTCTGAACAAAGATTTATGAGTAATGCAAATCCATACAAGCTTTTACAAATGCAGTTGTCCGAATCAACATAGCCAACATTTCCATCCTGATCAAAGAGTTTTTTTTACACCTCATGGTCCGTAATTCCCAGCAAGTATAAGCAAATAGGATGTTCCATTGTACCTTCTTAGTGCTGTTGTTACCTGCTTCATTTTTTATGTTCCATTTCCCACGTTTCCTGGTAACTCTGTTCAATGATGTGGTGCAACATGCTGAGTCCAAAGCGCAGAAGCTAGCCGACAATCACTAAGCACGTGCATAGTCGTCTTAATATTATCACAACCAAACAGGCAGCCACCATCCATTGAGATCCCAAGTCTGTTTCTAAGATCTTTTGCATGTAGCATGTCCTTTGCTGTTAGCCATAAGAAAGTTTTGATCTCTTCTGAGATGTTGAACCTCCAAATATGTTTCCATAAGATATCTCCCTTCCCTCTACCACCTGTAAAAATAAAATTATATGCAACTTTAACAGTAAAGGAACCATCAGTGGATGGTTTCTACATAAACATATCCTCACCACTCATCTGAAGGTAATCAATTTTTTCCAAAAAAAAAAAAAAAATCACACACACACACACACACACTCTCTCTACATATGTACGTTTTATCAGATAATGAAAAAGTATAGAGAATCATGAAACAAACATGCGTATGTGAAGTAGAGAAAGTGCCTCTACAGCCCTAAAGATCAGTGTAGACATGCCTTTATTCTCAGGTCTTGAATTAAAAAAATATGATCTCCTTGCACTCCCCAACTTGGGGTGTTCGTCCTCAAAATTAGTGCGCTGATATGACTAAGAAGATAAATAAGCTCTAGGGAAATGGACTGTAAGACTGTTAAAGACCAAGTTAGACATATTCTCATCTCATCTGAATAACAAGTTGAGATAATTTATTTTATTGCGTGATTTGTTTCAAACATGTAAGCACTAAAGGATTTTAATTTGGTCGCCACTAGCAAGGAACATGTGATCTGATATTGACTACAACATTTAGAGGGCACAGCTGATGGCGTGAGAAGAGCAACAAAATAGGGTACACCTGGATAGGCCCTTTTGTCATAAAAAAGCAATTACTTCCTTTCAATAACTCAACCTGTCATTTATGTGTTTTCAATCAAATTTTCCTCTGTATTTCTTAATTATTTAAAAACTTGAAAAAACCTAAATCAACAGACTTATTTTTGCTTTCAAAAAAGTAAATTAAAAGGTACCATATGCATATATATGATATTGCCTCTCAGCCATTGTCCCTGCAGCGATGGGTACACTTCACAAGAGCATTTGAAAATTTTGTGGTTTTGAGAAATTGAATCTGCTTTGAACAGGAAAACCTTACTCTTCTTCTATCTTCATTGTTTCTGTCAGTGTCAATGTTATCTGTTTGAGATTGGAAAGCATAGCAAGCATCCCAAAGCCAAATTGCTGTCATATGATCTGCAAAGAAAATACAAAGCATAAGATATGGGATTAAAAGCAGAGCAAGTATCCAGAGTAATAAAAAGAAATGAGTTTTAGGCTGCAAATAGAAGCCCTAATTGAAGTCTTTATAAAGAAGTTCGCCTTCACTCAATTCTAAGATCAGCACAAAAAAAGTAGCAAATTGGTGAACAAAAAGTGACGCTGAAAATCTAAGTAGAGATACCAAGTTTTATATTATGATTTGCTCTGGACAAGTACATTCATTTCTTTATGATGAAAATACCAGTAAAGGTAGGATCAAGTGAACCTTCACTAAACATGGAATGCATCAACTGACTATCAACAAAGGATAGGTTGGCTAGAATGTATATTGTGCAGAATGATCTTAGTGCCTTGTGCAATGATAATCCTGAAACGAGAGAAAATCTCTTCTCTCAGTGCAAGTTTTTAGCTGATGTAATGGGTCGATTTTGATGTAGGCACTTGTTGCTTTGTGACATGGCAACATGTTCTTGAGGTCACGCTACAAATCTAGTGCTATTTTCAAGTTAAGAGTGGCTACATTTTGTGCAGCAATATATGTGATTTGGTAAGTCAGGAATAATATTATCTTCAAGCATGAAATCCCTATTGTGATAGGTTATTTTATAGGGTGATTAATGTCCTTAAAGTTAGATGGAAACATTTGTTAACCGATAGGAATAGATATACAAATGCAATAGGGACCAGATTTAATATTTTTTGAGCCTTCAAGGGGTATGCCCCTTTAGTTTGATGTAAGCAGATTTTGAACTGAATATAAGTCTATTTCACTTTTGCCAAAAAAAAAAAAAAGGAATGCATTTGACGATGATTGCATGCTATAAGTTAGTAAAAGTAACCAACCTTTATAGTATAAACAATCTCATAATTGCTCCACCATGTGGAATGTTGCACTCTTGCTCCATATTCACATGTCAAAAATGCCTGTTATCAGAAAGAAAGGAAGTAATGTCGGATAAAGCAAAGGAAATTACTGAACACACACATATGGGAGTACTATAGAGTAGAGAAGGTACCTTCTAGAACCACCAGAGTCAGCATCTGCATCTTAACTCCGTCTTCCCAAGATATGCACATGAGGGATATGGGCAATTTTAGGCCAATCTTGTCCTATTTCCCTTTGGCACCGCTGCTTGAGCAATGTACAATTGTAGCCAATTTGTAAATGAGAAAGGGTTGCAGGTAAACCATCGTCTGGCAAGCCTTCAAAACTCATGCCAGGGCAGTAATCAAAATATAAGGAAGTGAGGAAACGGAGATGGAGAAGACCCTTGTAGTTTATTCTTTTTAAATTGTAGCACTGCTTAAATGAAAGAGAGTGAAGATTGGGCGGCAACAATCCTTCCTCAGGGAAGGATTCCACATCTTCAAACTTATCACTAATTTCAAGTTCTTCCAAAGAGAGGATCTCATGCAAACACCAATCCTTGCGAGACACAATGAGTTTAGGGCAAAGAGAGACAGAAAGGCGTTGTAGGCTGGAAAGCATACCTCCAGGAGGAATTGATTCCATCTCTGGACAATCACATAGTATCAGGTCATGAAGATGTGGAAGCACATCTGTAGAGCTCCATGTGGGGGAGTCTTTCATTGAAATCTTCTTACAACTTTGTAAACGCAGCATTTCCAACGCAGTGGCCTTAGGAAGTGTAGTCTTCAAACTTATGCACTTCATAATGTCTAACCTTTTTAGAGAAGGAAGGTGTTGAGGTAGAGACTTTGTCAATCTAGGACAGTCCCATATATAAAGCTCCTGAAGGCATGAGAAACTGCCATCTTCATGACATATATTCCATTCCTCCCATTCTCGCATCCATGAAAATTTTAAATATGAAAGGCAATGAAACGGAGGAACTGAGGAGCCATTCCCATAAAAGTCTTGATCTATCACCCTTATTCCATGAAATCCTTGAATCTCAAGTTTCTGGAGCGAAGGTAGCTGACCAAGTGGTGGTAGGTTGAGACAGTAGCTGCAACTTGACAAAGATAAAGACACTAGACTGGGCAAATGCAAACCATCAAACCAATTCGGAAATACAGTGCCCGAAAATCTTGTAACTGTGAGCTTTTTTATGTTACTATTTGGCTCGAGCGCTTCCAATACACACTCTTGGCGTTGTGACTCTTCATGACTTTGAACTGATCCCCAAATCAAATTTAACTCATCCATATGCTTTTCCTTCAACTTTGCATCTTTGATATTTGTAGGATCATCAATGCTTTTCATATTTGAGATAGTTAATGTACCCCCTAAATGATATAAGGCTCCCAATTCCTTTAAATCGGATCCTCCATTGTTTCCAACAACAAACCAATTCATTGTTTGGAGATGCTTTAACTTTCCCATATGTTTTGGCATCATCTTTATGCCACTATTTTCCAAATCAAGATGACGCAATTTGGTGAGAGTGTGAAAATTGGATGGCAACGTAGTCAGGTTAACACAACCTTTTAATTTCAATGTTTGCAGATTAACCATTAAGCACAGGGAATTTGGCAAATTTTCAATAGCACTGTCTGAAAGATCCAAATAATGCAAGTGTTTTAAATTGCTAATATCAGCTGTCAGTCTTTTGAAATTTTGATTTCCTCTTAATGATAATACCCGCATATACTTGAAACAAGTGAGCCTGGATATCATATCATTTTTTATGTCACAATTGACGGGGTCATTGTCCAACCGAATGAAACTGCGTAATTGGTGGCACAAGAAAACATCCTCAAAGATTTCAAGTTTTTCATTTTTGGTGGCCAAGTATGAAAAGTAACGAGCCTTTTTTGAAATGTCTTGTGCCTGATCAACCTCCAGCCGCACGCAAAACTCCCCCACCACAGACATTGCTAAATCATTCAAAAGATCATGCATGATGAAGTAATCACCCTGTGGCTCAAAAAATGACCGAGACTCTAGATCATTGAAAACTTCATCACCCACTTTTTCTATGCTCTTACTTTTCTGGGTGGAATGTAGTAAACCTTCTGCCATCCATAATTGAATCAACACATCCTTCTTTAGCAAGTGTTCTTTAGGAAAGAGAGAACAAAAGGCAAAACAACGCTTAAGATTTGAAGGTAAGCAGTGGTAGCTCAACCTTAAAGAAGGGATTATATTGCTATCATCTTCCGGTAAATGCCAAATATCACTTTCCAAAATACTAACCCAGTCCTGAGATGACGGTTTTGTGTGTAACAAACTTCCCAATGTTTTTATTGCTAAAGGCAATCCTCCACATTTTTTAACAATATCTCTACCAATTGATAAAAGATTTGGATCAGCATGTTGGTGTTGTTCCTTAAAAGCATACTTTACAAATAACTTCCAACAATCTTCATCTTCTAATGGCTTCAAAAGGTGCATATAGCTAGAGCGCATGACTTCTGCCACCTTTTTATTACGGGTTGTTATAAGAATCTTACTTCCTGGAGCTCCATAATTGAAAGGTGTTTGGAAGACCTCCCAAATTGTGCGATTCTGATTCCATACATCATCAAGAACCAAGAAAAATTTTTTATCCTTCAATTTCTTCTTCATTTGAAGTTGATTTAAGTTCAAATCATCCGATATTTTAATTCGACAATCAAGTGCTTCAAGAATCACTTTTGTAGCTTGACCAACATCAAATTCTTCCGAAATAAACACCCAAGCTCTATGTTGAAATTCTTCCTTGATCCTTTTGTCTTCGAAAATAAGCCGAGCAAGTGTTGTCTTACCCATCCCACCCATACTTACGATGGCAACCACATCCACAGGTAACTGATTCTCACCCTTGTTGTTGGATGATAAAATCTCTATAATTTTCTCTTTATCAGTGTCTCGACCAAAGATATTAGCTTCATCTATCAAACATGTTGCGGGCAATCTTTTGAACAGCTTCCTATTCCCTTCCACCTGAGTGAGGGCATAGGAGCCTTCCTTCAATCCCAGTCGATCCCCTTTGTTAGCTAAGAATTCCAGGTAGTCAACAAGTTCTTTGATCCTTCTTTCAATTTGTTTATCAAATGGACTAGCAATGCGAGTGACGAAGTTGCGAAGTTTACCTGTAGCGGGATGAAGTTGAAGTTGCAGCTTCTGCCGAGACGCCTCAGCAGCAATATCATCCAGCAAGTCCTCGGCCTGAAACACGACATCTTTAAGCTCATCCAGCCACTGCTTCACATAATGGTCTCTGTATTGCCTTTCCTCAGCATCTTCAATAACTTTGTTGATGCAATTAAGGGTCATGTCCAGCTTTTTCAGCAAGGTGCCATCCTTAAGCTTTCCAGCTCGGAAGTAATCAATGATGTCACCAGAAGCCAATCTTTCAAATGCTACCTGAAGGGAAGAAGAGAGGAACGCACCAGCCACAAGTTCTGCCATGGTTTTGGCAGCACATGTAACAGAAGAAAAGTGCAGATAGATGGAAGAAGGAAGTGAGGATCTTTGATGCTTCAATTTGTGGGGGAAAGAAAGATGGATGATAAGGTTCACTTCGTCTGCTTGTGGTGTACAGTACCTCAAATTATTGGCCTAGCATTTTCGTCGTTAACGTAATTTTTTTTTGGTCCGAAAAAAAAAAAGTCAACGTAATTTTTTTAGCTAAATATTAAATACTCACGAGCAATTGTCAGATAATCAAATTATCTTCTATTACATCATATTAATAATAATAATAATTAATATCTATTATTTAATGTTAGAATAAAAAAAATATTACCTTTTAATTATTCTAATATAAAAAATAAAAAAAAGGATCTTGAATAACTCACCCACAGTACTTTGCATTACATTTACAGATAGCAAAGCAATATAGGGAATTGATTCACGGCTTACAGCTGTCCTGGGCAGGGAATAGCAGGAAACAAAGACGATTACTACCGCATGCTTTGAAACAGGATAGTGGATGGAGAATTTGGATTGTAGCGTTTTATTAAAGGAGGCTTTCAGTTAAGGACCAAATAAGCGACTTAATTTTATGTGAGTTTAAAAATATTTTAAAATTGTAATTTAATCTAAAAAAAAGGTTAAAAAATTTTTATAGTGAAGGGATTAAAATGTCCTTCAATTGTTATATAGAATTACTAAATGTTAATTTTTTTACTTCACTTATTAACTTACAAACATAAGTAGCAAAATTACATGAGTTGATATGTCAATAATTATATAAGAGTTGACATTAATTTTTTAATCATAAATAAAAATATTAATTGTTAATTTTTTAATATTAGTCATAAATTATTGGTAGATCTTATAATTTATTAACATTAATTATAAATTACTGAAGAGTCTTGTAATTTAAAATTGATATTTATAAATTAGCAAGTAAAATTAATAAATTAATAATTAATGTTATTGATTGTCTAACAAAGGGATGTAATTTACAAGTAATATTGATAAATTAACAAATGTGGTAAACAAATAACAACTAATGATTTTGTATAATATATGAAGGGTATTTTGATCTTTTCACTGTCAAAATTTTTTTGACTTTTCTCTTCTAAATTAAACTAAAATTTTAAAATATTTTTGAACCTACCTGAAATTAACTCTCTTTCTTAGTACTTAACTGAAATTCTCCATTTTATTAATTTTAACCCACATGACTCTTGTCTTGTAACTAGGGATGCTTATTTAGATCAAAATTTAAGAAGAATAATAGTAGTCCCCAAAATATTGAATCAATAACAGTTAAATCACCAACAATTTTCTTAAAAAATAAGTTTAAAATAATGATTCAGTTAATTATAAATATAAGAGTTTCAATTGTAAATAAATATTTAAATATTAAGTATAACTCTTAGATTGCAATAAAAAATTTTATTTGTAACTATTTGAATTGATGATTATATTTCATTTTTAAAATTTTTTTATCAAGAATCTAATTGTCATTAATTTAATTTATTGAGATCTAACTGTCATTTTTTTAAAAATTTAAATATACTCTCGGGATGGTGGATCTAATTTATAATGTTTCAATAATTCAATCAAAAGCTTTTTTATATTAACATTAAAATTATAACGCCTCATATCCTCCATTTGAAATCCTAAATGAGAGGGCTGACGGGTGTATATGAAAGGTAGCATAACATTCCAATTTTAATTGTAAAAGTTAATTAGAGTTAATAAAAAAATTATAGAAAATTTAAGGATGATTATTAAGCTTAACTTAGGATGTTATTTTAAACTAAGATTTTTTTAAAAAATAGAATTATATATATATAAATTATTTTTCCATTTGAGAGATTATTTGAATATTATTGAAAATATGTTTAAGCAAAATTATATAAGTAGAGCTTTATTTGGGACTATAATTTAATTTGGATTAATGAGCAAAATAGACCCTGCAGTATTGCGCAAAAGTATCCTAGACTTTAAACTCTTAAAATATACAAAATAAACCTTAAACTTTTAAATTCATAGCAAAATAAATCCTGACCGTTAATTTTTTTTCACGTTGTTACTGTTTATTTGTTAATTAGTGCCACATATCCTAAATTATTACATGAGTAGTGTCCCAAACCCTGAACTTTAAAATTTTGAGCAAATTACCTCTAACATTTATGTATAGAATGTTGATTATTATGTAGACTAAATTAATTTCAACATGACCCGCCGCAATGAACACATTATTGATCGTAGCGAACGACCCATAATTTTATGAAATGACATTTTTTGCCCCTTTTCTTGTAATTTTTTTAAATGATTGGTATTTCATACTTTCATATACTCTATAATTCTAATTTATTTTTATTTTAAATAATATTTATTTATTTAATGGTGAAAACTTACGATCTTATTTAAAAAGAGGTTTGAGTATTAGAGAATTATAAAGTATATGAAAGCATAAAATACTAATCGTTTGAAAAACATTGCAAACAAGGGGACAAAAAATATTATTTTACAAAATTATGAGTCGTTCACCACGACAAACGGGTTCATTGTAACGGGCCACACTAAGGCTAATTTGATTTACATAATAGTCAATATTCTATATATAAACATTGGAGATAATTTGCTCAAAATTTTAAAGTTCAGGGTCTAGGATGCTACTCATGTAATAGTTTAGGGTCTATGGTGCTAATTAATAATTGAATAATAACAATGTTAAAAAAATTAACGATCAGGGTTCATTTTGCTATAAATTTAAAAGTTTAAAGTTTATTTTATATATTTTAAGAGTTCAAGATCTAAAATGCTTTTTATGATCCATTTTGCTCATTAACCTATTTAATTTTAAGCCAATGTCAAATAATAATAGAAGAGGAAATAAGTGAAAGATATATATTAAAAGAAAACACATACACTACGCATATATAATTACTAAAACATGGAAAGAAAAAAGAAGAACTAGGAAAAGTACATGGGCCCACACCTCCTATTTTATATTCACTCACCTACTCTCTCAATTCTTATATATAAAAGTCTTTTAAAAAATTTTTATTCCTAAATAAAAGCGATTATTAGCATATTTTTTAATGAATGGATTATTATACCTTTATTAAATTGAAAAAAATAAGTATTCTCATTAATTTACTTCGAAAAAGTGATTCATTTTATTTACAATAATTAAGGATAAAATTAACATGTTACTATGCTTTTAATTAGATAATTAATTTTTATTGGTTTGCGTGATCTGATTAAAAGTATATTATATGTAGGGATAGAGGAAGTATATCACAAGTGGGTTCTATAAGCATGAAAATAAATGATATTTAGTCAAAATTGATAGGGAAGTACTGGATGATCCATTTTCATAGTAAAAACCACCAAGTGCTTCTTAAAAAATAGTTCATAACTAAATTTAAACCTTTATTTGTTGAGGTGGAGTGTCACGTGTAAAAATTTGTGGACCCTATATGAAAAGTTAACATCCGCTAAATAAAAATTAACGAAAGTCCCTGGATACTTTGTCTTTTAAAGTTGAGAATTTATTTCACACCATTTTATAATATAGACTACTCAGTGCCTCTGAAAAAATAATTGACAGTCAAATTTGCACTTCTATCCTTAATTTTTATTGGTTCATTTTTTTATTATAGATGAGGATCTTGGATCCAAGATTTTAATCTAGTTTGCTAGCCGAAATTCTTTTACAAGAAGGCACTGGCTGAATGTTTTTATCTTTGATGGTTGCAGCTGATATTCACTCTTTCTTCAGCAAATCTAAGATGATCCACGTAATTCTTTTTCGAGTCAACCTTTTGCGAGCTTACACGTGTTTACTTTTAAGTTCAGCATGATGTTTGTTTATTTTTTTCCTTTTTTTTACTTGTTTTTTTTTTTGGGGGTTAAAAAATGTAATCATTGGTTATTTGAAAATGTACGTTACATGTTAACTCTACGACTAAAGATCTTCATCCAAATTGTAAAAAATGGAAAAACAAATATTTGAAAAGAAAGAAAGACATGGAATGCAAGATATTTTTGTTTGCTGGATTTTGAATACAACAAAAGGGTCTATTTAGAAACTTTCTTTGCAATTCTCCGTTTCCTGAGGGGTTTTCTGCTGTTAATGGAAATTTATTTTCATTAAACTCGAATACTGGATTTTATTAATTTAACAAAACAAAGTTACTTGGTCTTATTGGAGGAGCTCATTGATTATTGATTAGTTTGTTCAATTAAAAATAATCATAATAATAAATTGTTGGTACTTAATGCACTCTGTTTTTGAGAATCAAGTCAGAACACAGGTGCTGTTATAATAATTTCTCGCTTCTGCACCCATGTCAAAGGTTGAATGTGTCATTTTTATAAATATTGATATGTTCTATAAAATCATTTTTCTATGATATATTATTTTGATTATGTATAAGTATCCTCTTATTAAAGACAATACATAATCAGACATTAAATGTGAGCATTTCTCACAATAAATATTCAAACATTGGGTCATTAAGTTGTGAGGGATTAGTTTTTTTTTTTTTTTGGCTAAATCCAATCTCGATAATTTCCATGATATATTATATGTTACGAAGAATGGTTAGAAGGATCATTCTTGAATATTGTTGATGGTCTGCTAGCACGATCCTGAAATTTTGTATTCGTTAAAGTTCACATTTGTCTATTAATATTTTATACACAATATGTCTACATATATATATATATATATATATTCACGCGTTTCAATAATTCAACGATTTTATAAGGAAGAACTAGAATAAAAAAATTGAATTAAATTGTTTTAAAAAAATCAAGAAATGCGGATGAAAGATCTTTTGATGAATTGACTAAACTTATCAAACATATTATCACTTTCAATAGTTCAGTATTCTTTTTCCCTGAATTGAAATGCTCAAAAATCAACGTCCAATCCTACCAGTAGTTCACTAAACTTTACATCACTCAACAGGTTCAAGAGTTGTTTCCATTCTTGTCCTGCATCATCTCTTCTAAAGATGACACATTCATGTGCATTATTTTTCTCATCAGATTAACTGATTTAACTGATTTCGTTAACTCTTACCCCTTGCAAAGATGAAATCAACTGTATTTAGTAATGTTTGCTTATATATCGAACAAAATTGAAGTCCATTTGTGGTAAGGTCCCATGAAAGTTAAATCAAGCCAAGCATAAAAGAAAGTGCTTCTACTTCAGTGCCACAGGAGTCACATATAAACATTTCTGGCAGCAATGGTTGGATGATACAGAGAAGTTCTTTCTTTTTTTTTTTCCTTTCTTTTTTCTTTTTTTAAAGAAAAAGAGGAGGGCACCTACAAATTTTATTAACAAACCCTCACTTATGGTGAAGGAATACCATGGCTACATAATCAATAAAAATAACTACATCAGAGTCAAAGAAATCAATACCAGTTAAAAACTACAAAGCCTATTACTTTTTAGAAAAAATACATAAAAAAAGATGTCAATGAAATGTACGAAGAAGGAGAAAGAGAATATATGAAAGATAAATTAAAATACAAATAAGCACAAACAAAGAGAGAGAGAGACTCGCTACTACAAAAAATGCAAATATGAGCACCCATTTCAAAGCATTTTCGTGAAAAGGGCTTCAAAATATATCCAAGAAAACATTTAATAGAGCTTATTAAAATATATTTTTTAGAATATTAACCTATAGCGCTTAATTAAAAAAACACTCCTATACTTTAACATTCTACAACTATTATCTATAAATGGGGTTGTAATTGTGAAGCCTGTCTTCAATAACAGTTTCTCCAATTCACCCAAGTAGTCTCACAACTCCCATAGTATTATTAGAAGCTTGGAATTGCATTCTATTTCCTTAATTGCTTCTGCCAATCATATCTGTTACCTGAAGTTTCCTTCACTAAATTTTTACATATGCACTGAAAAATATATCAAGGCATAACCCACTGTCCCATTTTAGTAACTCTAGTGAATTAAGTTGCTCACATGTTTTGAAATTTTAATGAGTAATAAGGTGAGAGATTTTAGGCGAAGACATGATATAAAAGGAGTATGCTTCCTCACCTAATTTATTCTGTGATTTATTTCACCCTACACTTGTAATTCATCCATCCATCCATCCATTCATTCATCTGAGAAATTTCCTTCTTTGAGCCTTTGATCTATTTTCAGGGGAAAAATTGATCGGACTTTTTGTTAGAAAATGGGGAAGTTCAGAGAATTTCTAAGCATATAGGATTAATACAGAGGAAATACGACCTTTTCAAGCATGACAATCAGTGTTCATATGCTGCTCTAAGAAACTGCAGATTGGAGCTTCAGGAATATTGCTGTACCAAAAACACAAAACATTAGAAGATCTTAATAATTTTGCAATAATTTGGACGAATGATAATAGCTAAAAAAGCAAAAACAAAATTCAGCCTTTACTTTTTACCCGCAACAATGAAATAGCCTGAATATATCTATTTAGCTCAGGTCATAAAATAATACAGTAAAAAAATTATTTATATATCTATTTGTACGTAGACTTAATTACTAATCAAAGTATAACACGTTATTTTTCTTTTAAAGTTCACCAATTCTTTTGATAGAAATTTAGAAAATGTAGAAGAACAACTACCCCTCTATGCTTATGTATACAAAATTTAGATAATATAAAAAAAAGTCAAAATTAAAAGTATGAATATGGGAAGACAACAAATTCAAAGTTCAAACTAGAAGCAATTGCCATTATGAATGCCCAAGTGTTGAACAAGTGATAATAAAGTTGATTGTCGGATATGTTAAAAAAAAAATTAAGTATTGAAGGATATCTATTTTGGTAGGAAAAACTTACTCCCTCCTTTAAAAATAATGACATTTTTAACTGAGTCTCATCTTTAATAAAGTAATTACTTATCTTAAAGCTAACATCATTTTTTTTCATATGTACCTTTATTTAATATAGTGTTTCACTTCAAAATAAATGTAAATTAATTTATTTATTAAGGGTATTTTTAGAAAAAGTATAATGATTAGACCTTAAAATATTAAAAATATTTTATATTTTTGAACATGTGTAACCCTTCAAAAATTATCTTATATTTTTTAATGAAGGGAGTATATACTTACCCTTATATATTTAAAGTACTTGTTTTTATTAAATCTAAGACATTGTAGGTACTTTATATCTCATTTATTTTATAACAAACTTTTGTTATTAATATTAATAATACATTAAAATTCATTTATTTTGATTTTGTTGTATACATTGAGTATATAAGATTAAGTACCTAAATCTTGTCCTATTTTCATTTTGGTCACCACATTAGTAAGGGATATATGGTCTGATTTTTTTGGCCAATATGAAAGCTGAATCTAATGATGTAAACAAAGCAAGAGAATATAAATTGTTATTCATATCTGTAAATTGATTAACATAAATCACTACAGATTTAATCATGTGACAACATCTAAGAAATGTCTCAGCAAAATACGAGTACTTTGTATCGTTATACTTCAATGAGGACAAAAACACGCAGAAGGTATTTTAAAAATTATAAAATATTTAGACATGACTTTTTTAAGAAATGGAAAGACAGAAAGTACAAGGAATTGCTAATTATTAAGCATGTGGCATTAATACAGAGGAAGAAGTGCGTACCTTTTCCAACATAAGCAGTGTTAATAATTGAAACTTGAGATTGTAGCTTTAGGATAACGTCTACCCAAAGAAGAATCCACGGGATATGTTGAGTGAGCATGCAATAATATAACTTAATTTGATGAATAATAATAATAACTGAAGAACAAAAACAAAATTATCAATTATTAAAATCATTAATATTGTATACATATGTGGGAGTAATTAAAGTGGATGAATTAAGCACCTTTGCGCAGAATGAGAGTCAAGCTCTGCGTATGGTGACATGAGGGATAACAGCAATTTTTGGCCAATCTGGTCCTGTCTCTTCCTGTCTCTTTTTTGACACTTCTCCTCGAGCAATGGACAATTATCAATAGGTAAATGAGAAAGGGATGGAGGGAAGTTGCTGTCTTCAAAACTCATGTTCGGACAGTCTCAAAAAGATAAGGAAGTGAGAGAATTGAGGCGGAGAAGAGCCCTGTAGTTTAATCTTCTCGAGTTGCCACAACCTGAGAATGAAAGAGACTCGACGTTGGATGGCAGCAAGCCCTCCTCAGGGAAGGACTGATCTCCATCTTCAAACTCACCATCACTAAATGAAATTTCTTTCAACTTATAATCAGACACATGCAAACACCAAGACGCAAAGTGTATGAAGCATGCAAGACGTGGTAGGGTGCAAAGCATGCCTGCTCGCCGTATTACTTCCCTCCATGTGGCCACATCTTTTACTACAATCTTCCTACACCCCTTTAACCATATACCTTCCATGCAAGAGGACTTGGGAAGTGTTGTCTCCAAATTATCACACCCAAGTATGCATAACTTTTTTAAACATGGAAGGTGTGGAGGTAGAGACTTTGTCAGTCTTGGACAACCCCATATACAAAGCTCTTGAAGGCATGGGAAACTCTTATCTTCTTCACAAATCTTCCATTCCTTCCAGTCCATCATATCATGAAATGTTAAATGTGAAAGGCAACGAAATGGGTTGTTAGAGGATCCATTTTTCCCATAAAACTCTTCGCTTATCACCTTTATTCCATCAAATCTATAAATCTCAAGTTTCTCCAGGGAAGATAGTTGCCCAAGTGGCGGTAAGTTCACACAGTTGGTACAATTCGACAGAGATAAAGAAACTAAATTGGGTAAAAAGTGTGAACCACCCGGCCAGTTTGGAAATTTGGTACCTCTGTAACCTTCAATAACGAACTCTTTTAAAGTATTATTTGGTTCAAACCCTTCTAATACGTGTTCTTGATATTCTACTACTTCAAGACTGTAATCATACTGTCTATAATTCAAAATTAATTTATCCAAATGCTTTTCTTTCAAATTGGCCTCTCTCAAACTTGTGGGTTCATTAATGGTCTCCATATTAGAGATGGTTAGAGAACCCATTAAATGGTTCAAGGCACCTAGTTCTTTCAAACCAGACCCTCCTTTCTTTGCCGAGAAAAAATGATTTACTGTCTGGAGACGATTCAACTTTCCCATATTCTTGGGCATCTTTTTTATGTCATAACAACTATCCAAATCAAGATGACGCAAGTTGATGAGCTTGTAGAAATGTGATGGGAACCCAGTCAAGTGACAACCTCTTAATTTCAATGTTTGTAAATTAACCAACAAGCACATTGATTTTGGCAATTTTTCAATTGACGTCTCAAAAAGATCTGGATAATGCAAGTGTTTCAAATTGCTAATATCATCCCCCAACTTTTTGAAAGTTTGACACCCCTCCAAAGATAACTCCCGTATGTACTTGAGATGAGAAAGTCTATATATTATGTCATACTTGGAGATGGAATTTTCATGCAATAGGATAAAACTACGTAATTGGTGGCATTTGAAAACTTTCTCAAAATTTCATTTGCTTTGCCTATACATGAAAAGTAGCGAGCCTCAGTTGAAATTTCTTGTGCCCGATCAATCTCTAGTTGCACACTAAACTTCCCCATCACAGACTTCGCTAGATCATTCAAAAGATCATGCATCATGAAGCAATTGCCATTCTTTTTTGATAACCTAGATTCTAGGTCATTGAAAATTTCATTGCCAACTTCTTCAAAGCTTTTACTTGTGTGAGGGGAATGTAACAAACCTTCAGCCATCCATAGTTGAATAAGAACATCCTTTTCTATCAAGTGATCTTTCGGAAAGAGGAACAAAATGCAAAGCAACGCTTGAGATTAGAAGGTAAATAATGGTAGCTCAACCTTAAAGATGGGATTATATTACTCTCATCCTCTGATAAGGACCAAATATCACTCTTCAAAATTGCATCCCAATATTGAGGAGCTAGTTTTGTGCCCAACAAGCTTCCCAATGTTTTTATGGCCAAAGGCGATCCTCCACGCTTGTTAATGATTCTTCTACCAATTGATTCAAGTCCTGGATCAACATATTGGTCACTAAATGCATGTTTTGCAAATAACTTCCAAGGATATTCATTTTGCAATGGCTCCAAAAAATGAATATCTGTGCACCGCATGACTTTCGCCACCCCTTGTTCACGTGCTGTTATGAGAAATTTACTTCCTGGAGCTCCATAGTTGAAAGGAGTTCGAAAGGCCTCCCAAATGGCATGATTCTTGTTCCATACATCATCAAGAACCACAAAAAATTTCTTATCCTTTAACATTTCCTGTAGTTTACGTTGATGTGGATCTAAATCATCTGATTTTTCAAGTTCAATTGAACAATCAAGTACTTTAAGAATCGCTTTTGTTGCGTGAACAAGATCAAACTCTTTAGAAATACACGCCCAAGCTCTGTAGTGAAATCCATCTATCATCCTTTTGTCTTCATAAACAAGCCGCGCCAGAGTGATCTTACCCATTCCACCCATACTTGCAATGGCAATCACGTCCATTGGGGATTGAGTCTTGCCCTTGTTGCGCGACAGTAAAACCTTGACTAGTTTCTCTTTATCAGCATCTCTACCAAATATATCAGCTTCATTTATCAAAGACGATTCTGGCAATCTCTGGCAAACTCTCCTATTCGCTCCCCCTTGAGTGAGTGCGCTAGAGCCAACCTTCAACCCTAGGTCATCCCTCTGTTTTGCTAAGAGTTCTAGGTAGTCGACAAGTTTCCGGATCCTTTGTTCGATATCTTTTTCAAAGGATTTCACATTGGAAGTTAAGCGGTTGCGTAGTTTACCTGTGTGGGGGTGAAGTTCAAGTTTCAGTTGCCGTCGAGAGGCCTTTGTTGCAATCTCAAGCAACAGGTCCTCAGCCTGGAACACAACGCCTCTGAGCTCATCAAGCCAGTTCTTCACATTAGGGTCTGCGTATTGCCTCTCCTCAGCATCTTCCATGACTTTGTTGAGACTGTTAAAGGTCGTCTTTAGTTTTTTCAGCGGGAAGTTATCCTGGAGATTTCTGACACGGAGAAAGTCAAGAATATCACCAGAAGCCAATCTATTGAGAACCGCCTCGATGGCAGCGGTGAGAAGTGCTCCGGAAACCAACTCAGCCATGGCTTAACTACGTAAAACTTAGCACAAGCAAGTATTGAGCAGCAACGGAGGATGAAAACCGGGAAGAGATGGATGAAGAAAGTGAGATTCGTTGGTTTAAGGGTCGCTTCTTTGTTGATTGGTTGTTGGGAATTACTGATCCGAAATTGAAATCAGAGATAATGTTTGTGCGATGCATATTGATTTTCTTTTCCACAAAGACTTTTCATAATTCCGTGCTGCTACCTGCCAGCTACTATATTCTTGTTTTCACATTCTCATTCTCATATGGACGAGGATGGATAATTTTGATTCTAGCATATTATTACTTTTAACCCAAGTGAAGTGACTCCTGTGATTAGTGTTTTTTTTTTTTTTTTGAAGTGCCCATTCGAGTTACTACAGTTGGAGTCACGCATGTTTAATAATTTCTCTAATTTGTTAGATAGGGTTAATTTTCTGTGGGCCAGCTCATGTTTTATCTTGAACAAGGAAATATTTTGATATATTTTATCTTGTAATAAAATATACGCGCATGGGTGCCTATATATCTGGGTTATATAAATGAAAAATGCGGATCCAATTAATAATGTCTCTATATTTAATTAATAAAAGCTTTTCATTAACATGATATGATATGAGACATATTCAGACCAAAATACTGATTGAGTTTATCTTATTCTAACCCTTTTCTAAATCTAATAATTTCACAAGTATTAATTTTTTTTTTTTGTTGGCCTATATTGTTATTCACTCTTGTCTTTTTAACATGACCCGCCCTATTAAAATTGTAATATGGAAAAATGGAAGAAAAAGGTTGAAGCAGGGATGCTGCTATTCTGCTAGATGCTTTTGCTCTCCTAGATGTAGCCTGTAGGGGATTTGCATCTCCCTAATGAATGCATCTCCTAGATGCTACTATTCTGCTAAGTTGGAAAGCATACCTCCTTGGGGAAGAGATTCCATTCCTGGACAGCAAGATAAAGACAAGAAATGAAGAGGTGGAAACACATCTGAGGAGCTCCATATGGGCATGTCTTTTATTGTAATGTTCTTACAATTATTTAAATATAGCCTTTTCATGGAAGAGGACTTGGGAAGTGTAGTCTCCAAATTTCCACATGCCACAATGTCTAATGTTTCTAAATAAGGAATGTGTTGAGGCAGAGACTTTGTCAGTCTAGGACAATCACATATATAAAGCTCTTAAAGGCAAGAGAAACTCTCATCTTGATGACTTATATTCTATTCTTCCCCATCCAACATCTCATCAGAACTTAAATATGAAAGGCAACAAAATGGGGCACTGGAGGAGCCATTCCCGTAAAATTCTTCACCTATCACCTTTATTCCATCAAATCCTTTAATGACAAGTTTCTGGAGGGAAGGTAGTTGCCCAAATAGTGGTAATTGCTCAAATTTGGCACACCTCAGCAAATATAAAGACACTAAATTGGCTAAATGTGAACCACCAACCCAATTTGGAAATTTGCCACCTATGTATCCATCAACAGTGAGCTCTTCTATAGCATGATTTGGCTCAAGTGCTTCCACTATAGACTCTTGATGTAGTGCCACTTCATGACAGCGCCAATACTGCAACATTAATGTATCTAAATGCTTTTCTTTCAATTTGGCCTCTCTTACTTCTGTAGTTTCATCTATGCACCCCACATTTGAGATGCTTCGTGAACCTGTTAAGTGGTCTAAGATACCCAATTCTTTTAATTTTGAACCTCCTTTCTCTGCCACAACAAATTTGTTCATTGTTCGGAGATGCTTTAATTTTCCTATATAATTTGGCATCTTTTCTATGTTAGAACCTACCAACTCAAAGTGACGCAAGTTGATGAGTTTGCAGAAATTTGATGGCAACTTTGTCAAGCAACGGCAATGAATTAATTTCAAAGTTTGTAAATTAATCAACAAGCACATTGAATTTGGTAATTTCTCATTTGAAGTCCAAGAAAGATCCAAATAATGCAAGTTCTTTAAATTGCTAATACCATTGGTCATGTTTTTGAGATTTTCATATCCCCTCAATGATAATTTCCGTAAGTACTTGAGATGACATAGCCTGGATACCATATAACCATTTATGCCAAAATTGAAGGAGAACAAGAGGCATCTATGTAACTAGTGGCATTTGAAAAATCTCTAAAGTTTCAAGATTTTCATTTTTGTTGCTTATATATGAAAAGTAGCGACTCTTTGGTGACATATCTTGTGCTTGATCAACCTCTAGCTGTGCACAAAACTCCCCCCTCACAGATTTCACTAAATCACTCAAAAGATCATCCATAATGAAGCAATCATCACCATTTCTTGTCAGCTTAAAAAAAGATCTACTCCCTCTAGTCTTATTTGTAAGTCATTTTTACCAATCTCATCAATACTAATATAACAACAGTATAAAGAATAATTACAAATGAAATTTTAAAACTAATCCTCGGATAGAAAACTAAAAAGTGATCCAAGCAATATAATATTATTTTCCAAGTAATTCTCTCTCATACTTTACAGAAAAGTTGATCAGTGACAGTAAAAAAAAAAGTCTATCAACTTTACTTACACTTACTGGCAGGAAGGTCGAAATGAATTGGGGGCAAAATTTTTTGGGAAAATACATCCTTCTAAAAAGGAGAGAAAAAGCAGACAAAACAAAAGAAACAAAAATGCATGAGACCACCAATTGCTTCAGCCTTTCACCATGAAAAATTGCTGCATGTCTTTTAATTTAAATGCTCCAGCTGAGGAAGACAGTAGGGACATCAACAACATTTTTTTGGACTTAAATGCTCCTCCCATGTGTGAGAATGTCTACCTAAACAACAATCAAGGAGAAAAGCAACATGCAATCAATGAAGAAAAAAATGGCAAGGATATCTATCCTTATGAAACTTAGAATATCCGTATATAAAATTTAACTCTAGTATTTCTATTTAGTTCCTAATAATGGTTTCCTAAAGCACCATATCCCCATAATTTTTTAAATATAGTAGAAAGATAGAAAAAAATATATCACTTGTACCATATAGAAAAAACCAAAATATAGTAGACCCGAATGCAATGAAGTTGTAGTAGTATATGGCAAACAAAACTAACGATGCAGTGCCAATTTGCTTCTTATCCTTCCAGAGCAATGTATCAGCAACTGTAAAAAGCCAGTGATAGTAAATTTGCACATTGACTAAAATCTATAGAAGAATAAATGTACACCACAGATTAACTCACAACACCAACGAGTTACACAATTGTGCACATGAAGAAAACAATAATTGATACCACTAGCTAATTTAGATTGTAAACATACTATAAGGACATAACGATGCATGTCTGAACAAATAACATAATCTTCTTTAGAAAGGAGAACTTGTCTCTAGACAAATGACAAACCTTTGACTTGGTTTTCACCAAGAAAAAAGGGGAAAGAAAAATTTACAAAATGAAGCATGGGCTCACAACATTAATGTGGACAATTAAATCTTCATAACAATAGAACGTGACTAGCCAATGCACAGTTTTCTTTTATTCGAATAAAGAATCCACCATAAAACTTAAAACCACATCTACACATTCAAACTTTGGTAGAGAATAGGGTACATGGATAAGGGAGTTACCAGCGATCAGAAAAAGGGATGGTGAGCACACGTTGGAGACATAAGCCTTGAGGTTTAGCATAGCTCAGAATAAGAGGTGCATGCATGAAGCATTGCATGAAATCCATTTGATTGGGTCTTGAAAGCCTTGTCCCTTTGGATAGACCCAACAGAATTGAGTCTCCAGGAACTGGAGAAGCCAAACCATCAAGGGTTTTAGGAGTAGAGACGTCCAAGTCCCAAAACCCTGCTCCATCCATAACCCATCCTAGCTAGTTTCCTCATCTCTCTTATCTCCCAGAATAGAGCACTTCTGACCTTGCAGAACTTTGCCACCGCCAAGGGAGAGAGTGTGCTTAGCCTGTTTCCCTTCACATGGCTCTTTGCTTTATCATTACCGTCAATTTTCCAAAGTGTTAACTTGCAAACTATGAAGCATTGACACAAAACATCCATGTTGACAATTAAATCTTAATAAAAAATATATATAACATGACTAGGCGTATTTCATAAATAATCCACAATGTAAAATTTCTCTACATCCCTCAAACCACCCTTACCCAACCTCCTTTCAATCTTATATATGGGAGAACTAACTTGAACTTGAATCAATAAGAAAGCAAACATCTTGGATTAGAAACTAAAAGATACGGATTAAATAAATGTTAAGAACAATATCCTAAATGGCTTTTCAAATAAATTCGACATGCAATAACATGGCACAATATTATTCATGAAATATCATAGACCAAAGTGACCATCACAGTCTCAAAGCTTCTAAAAGAATCCAATTAATAATTTTTTATTCAGTTCAAAAGATTCTTTAAATAAACTTGGATCAAGCCATGATTTGATATTTAGTTATGTAATGTACAGCAATATGGAGTGCACCTAACGCTAGCAAATACCACAGCAATCAAATAATCAAAATATTTAGTTATGCACACATAATTTGATATTTTATATAGAAGGTAGGGTGAACATAAATTTGAATAGACTTTTGAAATCTAATATCAATAAACTTTTGAAAAAGAGACAAATATGGGAGGCAATATAATTGAATCACCAAGGTAGCAACCATGTAAAAGAAGGATCTTATCAAATGAAGAATGTGTTGCTATTTGTAAGATTTTGTTACACTCAATTTGCCAAGGTAAATTGAGCAGTATCACAACAAGAGAGATAGCTTCAGCATACTCAGTTTCAATGAGAGTAATTCAATGCATTTGGCATCAAGTTAAGGAAATAGGGAATGCAACTCATAGAAAGACAAACAGGTGTGGAACAAAGGGACCTAATATGAACATGGAACAAGTCATGGCAATTCTTGTACAATAAAGAACTACTTATAGGTCTCTTGTAAGTATGCTAGCAGTTAACAAGACATCACTAATCAGACTTCAAAAAAAAGGAGTTCCATGGCGCCACACAAGTGCAATCAAACCATATTTAAAGGAGTAAAACATGCTTGCTAAATTGAGGTGATGTTTGTCCATGCTAGAATAAGAAAGTATACCAAATGATCTAACTTTTCAATATATGTACAACATAATCCATATTGATGAAAAATGGTTTTACATGATAAAGAAATCACATACCTACTACTTGGCAATAGGGGAAAAGCCGCCACATCAAACATGTAAAAACAAGAATTATGTTAGTAAGGTTATATTCCTAGTTGCTGCGGCTAGGTCTAGATTTAATGCACAAGGCCTATCTAGCCACACACTTCACTAATACATTTAATTAATCTAATCAAACTTAATTAATTCGGTTAACAATTGAGAATGTTACATATTTTACTCTTAGTTTATTTAGTCTTATTAGAAGAACTTATTGACTAATTTGTTCATTTAAATAATAATAAATTGGTGATACTTAATGCACTATGTTTTTTTTAGAATTAAATCAAAATAGGGGTGTCGTTATAATATATTCTTGCTTCTGCACATTTGCCAAAGTTTGAACGATGACTATACCATGCACTTTCTCTGTTAAAAATGTAAGGCATTTTTTGCGGAATTAGATATTTAAAAATGTAAGGCATTTTTAATCTTTTAAGATATAATCATTGCTTTTTTTTTTTCAAAAGTACCCCTATTAATAATGACTTTATATTTATTGTAGGGTATTTGATAGAGGTAAATATAAAAAGATAGGGTTAGTTTGAAAGTAGATAATTACTTCATTAGGGGATAAGATTCAGTTAAAAATATCTTATATTTTTAACAAAGGGAGTATATGTATTACTTTCATTCATAAATATTGATATGTTTTTATAAAATTATATCAATACTTCATTAAAGTCCATAATACATCTGTCATGTCCCAGAAATTAAACGTGACTAGCACGAGATGTATACATAATCATACATCCCTTAAGTTGTGATAAAAGAAATCTTAATCTAATATTTAATATTTATTTATAAAACATAATTAGACTTGAAATAAAAGTTTAAGTGTTTTTGTAGAAATTTTGGCAGAACTTTTTCTATAAATAAGATCTCTTAAAAATTCTACAATATAATATTTCTATCAAAAACATCAAGTCAATCAAGAGCAAAGTTCCTTTTGGCCAGCTGACAAAATACATAACAGCATAAACAACCTAATTACAAACTATGTGGAGTACCTAACAATAAGTTAATAAAAATAAAAATTCATAATTAATACTTTACATCAAGATAAAGTTAAATCATTGGCTTCTCCACTTCTAGTCAATCAAAAACTCTTCAATGCCCAGTTGGTGGTTCCGCATCAGCTACACTATCTGAGACCAAAATTATTTTTAGCAAATAACGTCCCAAAAATAATTAATTAATTAATTAAACATAAAAAAAATTAAAAACACAATTATCATCCTGAAAATTCAAATAAATTTGGAATAAAAGGATTCTATGTAACCTTAAATAAAATCTTAAATCATTAAACCATCATATCAAATATTATCACTTGATTTCAAAGAAGCAAATAAACAAATTGAATAATTATAAATAGATTACTAATTAAAGCCATTAAAATATAAAATCATTAAATAATCAAATTCATGTTTATAGGGACTCTTCAGAACAATTAACAAATGTGAATACACAATCTACGAGGATAAGTAACTAGAAGCGGCTAAAGCTATGAAACAGACGTGGACACATAGTCCACAAGGATAATTAACCAGACATGGTCATAGCCACGAAACAGATGTAGGTACAATACCCATAAATAACAGACGTGAAAATAGAGCTCACGAAAATCAAACTAACTAGTAATTGACCATGGCGCGCCAAAGGCTAACGGAACTGCCATTAGTAATCAGTGTCCTATCTAAAGTCTCTTTAAAAATCAATTTCTAAACATGCGAGAAAAATAATCATCATCGAATTAAAATTTTCTCTTCTCTATATCAGACTCGCATGAATTATATAAATACCCATTCTTTTTAATGTAAAAACTCAAACACTTTCACAAATTTTCATGATTGTCCTTGTCAAATAAAGGATTACTAGAACTTGTAAAAAAAACAATTTGAACAATGTTATAAGCACATAACAGTATACTTTAGAAATTAATAACTATAAAATCCTCAAGAATTCACTTCATCTCTCAATAACATAAATAAATTTCTTTGTAATATTTGATTCAAGTTCACAAATGAACAACACCCCAAGCCAATCCATGTTTCTTGTGAGATCTCAAAAAGTTATAGAAAAATTCCTATTTAAGTATCTCCTTTTCCAAATTTTTAAGCTAAATTCATGGATAACACTATCTCAGCCAATTATGTCTTCCAAGGAATTTAATGAGACTTTAATAATTATAATTCCAAGCAAAACTCTCCTAAGGCATTTTATCAAACACCTCATAAGCATTAAACCATAAACTAATAATCCAAGTTTTTTTTCCAATAACTTCCTCAATACTTCAATACCAATTTTAAGTTCAAAGATAGTTAAATCAATTTATTCTTTTGGTAGAACTATTGTAAGTAAGAGAAATTAGCTACCAAAAACCATATTCTTAAGCTTAAATCTTGAATATGATCAGACTCCCTTCTACTACTCCAATCACACACAGCTACAACAAGAAAGAAATAAAAATCTCTCGCCATCACAGAACATCAACAATGTAAAAAGAAAGGGAAAAAGTCACGAGCTGTATAAGGGAGAAGAGATTCGATGCAAACAAGCCGCAACACAGTCAGAGGAGGAAGATTTTTTTCAACTCCCCAGTCACAAACCACGGATGAACAAGGACAAAAGGCAAGGAAGAAGAAGATCTGAGCACTCACCTCCACACGGATAGCAAAAAAAAACATGAATAGAAGAGGAGAAAGAAAGGGTCGACAGAATAGGGGAGAAGACGACAGCCACACACTAGCCTCCCTTTCATGAATCAAACCTCCAAAACTCTTAGACCAACTCCTTACGTGCTCACGATTCTGAGCTTCTAGCAGTGAAAGACCACAGTACACATTAACAATGCCGACGACTTGATTCTCACACCCATCAACACCATATGCATGAACGACGAGGACTGAACAAAAAATGAAGGAGATGAACAGCAATAGAAAGCACAACAGAGCTTTGGGCATACACAGTTACGGCGAGCTTCCACCTTCACCGGTGACAACTAAAAAAGGAAAGGAAGAGATGAAGTACAATGGGGCAGAAAATTAAAGCTCTCTCACTCACACACGGTTCTAGAAAAATTGAAGAAGGGGAGGAAGGCATGTCTTCAGATTTAAAGAAGGGTAAAATGGTAATTTTAGGAAGAGCTGAAGCAAAAACAATCAAATCTCTGTTCTTGAGCTCCCTAAGTTTCAAACTTTAGACCTCCTAATTAAATGGCTACACTATCTCCACCAAGCTAGCTCTTATTTCTTGCTATATTTACTCCAAAATTACTAAAATATATTTAAAACGCAATATAATAATTACAATTAAAATTCCTAGGATATAACAACATCCACTCAATAGTTCGAGAATCGTTTCCATTCCTATCCTGCATCATCTCATCCAAACAATACACATTCGTGCATGCATTTCTTTTCTAATTGGTTTAGCTGATTTCATTAACTGATTTAACTAATTTTGTTAACTGTAACCCCTTGCAAAGGTGAAGTCTAATATATTTAGCAATGTTTGCCTATATATCTCACAAAATTGAACTCCATGTGTTGTTAATGGCAATGTCAGGACCTTAGACTATGGGGTGCAACATTCTTAAAATTAAAAAAAAAGTTAATCTTTTAGTTTTTTAATTTTTA